GGTCTGTGTCGGTGTGTGTTGTGTTTGTGTATGTATGTTGTGTCTGCTTTGGTGTGTGTATATGTTTTGGGATTGTGTTGAATCAATGTTTGTGTGTGTGTGTTGAATCGGAAAATAAATATAGTCATTGGAATTGGAATTGGATTTAACCATTGGTGTATTGGGGATTAAAGTGGCATGTTCAAATGGTTAGAATGTGTATTGGTTTATCTGGAAGGAGAGGCGTATGAGGAGGTTAGATTGAATTCATATTCTGTTTTTATGTAAATTTTTGCTTCTCTCAGACATCAGGTTCATTGTTTGAAGCCAAAGAAGACAGATAGTTTGTGCTTGGTCTTTTTTGAGTTTCTTGCTTAGATTAGGGAACTGTTGAGGCGAATAGTTTTCCAGTTGGTGCATGTTTTTAGGGTACCAAAGATCAAAGGAGGCTACTGGTGCAAGATCAAAGGAGGCTGCCAGTCTTAAGGACTAAGAAGGTTATTGTTTATGGGAAGGCATAAGTCTTTTTGTCTTTCTGCGATGATGCTGCCTGTTCAGGTTTTGTTGGTTAGATAGTATTTGTCTTTCCGTTTGATTCTTGTAATTTTTTGGATTCTTCAATAAAATTTGGAGATTGCAATGTACAGTGGCCAAATGGAGATTGAAGATTGATTGGCAATATATTAATGCAAATGGGTAATGTTGATATGCTACTAATACTTACGATATAATTTGAAGTGGTTATTAAACAAATTTTTTTTTTTTTTTCGTAATTTGATAAATATNGTGTATTGGGGATTAAAGTGGCATGTTCAAATGGTTAGAATGTGTATTGGTTTATCTAGAAGGAGAGGCGTATGAGGAGGTTAGATTGAATTCATATTCTGTTTTTATGTAAATTTTTGCTTCTCTCAGATATCAGGTTCATTGTTTGAAGCCAAAGAAGACAGATAGTTTGTGCTTGGCCTTTTTTGAGTTTCTTGCTTAGATTAGGGAACTGTTGAGGCGAATAGTTTTCCAGTTGGTGCATGTTTTTAGGGTACCAAAGATCAAAGGAGGCTACTGGTGCAAGATCAAAGGAGGCTGCCAGTCTTAAGGACTAAGAAGGTTATTGTTTATGGGAAGGCATAAGTCTTTTTGTCTTTCTGTGATGATGCTGCCTGTTCAGGTTTTGTTGGTTAGATAGTATTTGTCTTTCCGTTTGATTCTTGTAATTTTTTGGATTCTTCAATAAAATTTGGAGATTGCAATGTACAGTGGCCAAATGGAGATTGAAGATTGATTGGCAATATATTAATGCAAATGGGTAATGTTGATATGCTACTAATACTTACGATATAATTTGAAGTGATTATTAAACAAATTTTATTTTTTTTTCGTAATTTGATAAATATGAATGACTTTTAAACATGTTTTTTTATTTTTTTATTTTTATCATAAACAAAATAAAAATTATCTCTATTTTACATTTTTTAAAACACACGAGAACAAAAACGTTACAACACCAAATGTTTGTCCCCTCATTAATCATAATCCCACAACGTTAAGGAAAGGAGTTTCAATTGCTTCTTAATGATTAGCTTCTGAATAATCACGTTCTACTGCCAAGTTCGGTACTACAATCATTAGTGATTAATAATGAGTTGGACCTAATTTACGCTTAACTCTCCCGTAACATTATCTCCCTCGTCTTTCATTTTAAGTTTTTTTGTCTCTCTTTAGTATAATTCTAATTCGAAAAAGGCTTTTTAACAAATTTATTAACTAAATTCATTATTAGGAGTTAGTTGATCTCAATATGAAACGAAAGCCCACCACTAGTTCAACAATGTTTTCAATTTTGGTTAAAGTAGTCAATTCATTCTCTTATATCTTATATTCATTTCNCCTCGTCTTTCATTTTAAGTTTTTTTGTCTCTCTTTAGTATAATTCTAATTCGAAAAGGGCTCTTTAACAAATTTATTAACTAAATTCATTATTAGGAGTTAGTTGATCTCAATATGAAACGAAAGCCCACCACCAGTTCAACAATGTTTTCAATTTTGGTTAAAGTAGTCAATTCATTCTCTTATATCTTATATTCATTTTGGGTTAATCTCCTAGTATCACTTATCTTTGAGTACGTTTTGTTCTATTTGAAACTTCACCGCATAACTATATTGGGTTTAATCAACACAATATATGAGTGTCATTGTTTTATTTTACCTCATTATATTTATTTAATGATCAATGACTATAATTAAATTAAGTAAAAATCTATGACTACAAAATTTTTCAAACACACCATAGTCTCATTTGTCCATACATTATAATTCATGACATTGATTAATTAGTGATAATGCATAAAATGTGTTTATGTGTCTTCTATCAAACATTTAATTCAATAATTAGGAAGGAAAATCAATACAAGCAAACGCAAAAATTAAGTGGCTTAGTCTGAATGATCTATTCCACTAGAAATGACTACAGTTGCTAGAGAATCTTGTTACTCAAGAGGTATAGTATACTGAGATGTGTGTGATGCCCCCCTACATGTAGGCTGAATTTACAATATATAGGCAAATGAAGTTAACTCTGAAGGGCTTCGTTTGAAGCGTTATTCTCGTAACTGATTTCGTGAAACTCGTCTTATCCTTGTAACGGGCAAAGAGACAGCAGAGTGATTTCTTGAAACTTGCCTTATCTCGTAACGGACGAAGTGATTTCGTGAGAGTGACGATGTGACCTCGATAACTGCGTCCCCACGAATTACCTTTTCTCGAATGAAAATTTTCACGTGCGCTGACGATGGGTTGGATCCTCAGGAAGGTGAATTGAGTCTTTATTGGTTTGTATTTGTAATCTGAGTCTAATCTAGGCCGGACCAGTCAATTAGAATGAAATAATTTTATTTTGCACCTTGNTAGTATACTGAGATGTGTGTGATGCCCCCCTACATGTAGGCTGAATTTACAATATATTGGCAAATGAAGTTAACTCTGAAGGGTTCCGTTTGAAGCGTTATTCTCGTAACAGATTTCGTGAAATTCGTCTTATCCTCGTAACGGGCAAAGAGACAACAGAGTGATTTCTTGAAACTTGTCTTATCTCGTAACGGACGAGGTAATTTCGTGAGAGTGACGATGTGACCCCGATAACTGCGTCCCCATGAATTACCTTTCCTCGAATGGAAATTTCCACGTGCGCTGACGATGGGTTGGATCCTCTGGAAGGTGAATTGAGTCTTTATTGGTTTGCATTTGTAATCTGAGTCTAATCTAGGCCGGACCAGTCAATTAGAATGAAATAATTTTATTTTGCACCTTGAAAATTTTATATTTTTTTATTTTTGTACCCTCATAGAGTGAAAAAGTATTAAAAGGTGGCCATTTTATTAGCTTTCTACGTTTGTTATATCAGAAAACACCCCATTAAAGTTGACATAATGAGAAATAAAAACTAACAAAAATGTCATATTGTAATATTTTTAATATATTTTAGGTACAATATAAGAAATTTAATTTTTAAAGATACAAAATAAATTTTTTTAAAATCTTTTAAGTTACAAAATATAATTTGCACAATTAGAATAGTAATAGACACTTATTGGACTGATAATCGAGTCGAGCTATGCGAGCTCGAGTCGAGTTTGTTGTTTTAAATAAGACTAAAAAATTATGCAAGCTCGACTCATAGTCGAATCAAAGTCGAGTAAGTCAACAATTTTATATATAAATGAATTGAATTTTACGAATTCTGGCCGAANAAGGTGGCCATTTTATTAGCTTTCTACGTTTGTTATATCAGAAAACACCCCATTAAAATTGACATAATGAGAAATAAAAACTAACAAAAATGTCATATTGCAATACTTTTAATATGTTATAGGTACAATATAAGAAATTTAATTTTTAAAGATACAAAATAATTTTTTTAAAAATCTTTTAAGGTACAAAATATAATTTGCACAATTAAAATAGTAATAGACACTTATTGGATTGATAATCGAGTCGAGCTATGCGAGCTCGAGTCGAGTTTGTTGTTTTAAATAAGACTAAAAAATTATGCAAGCTCGACTCATTAAAAAATGAGTCGAATCAAAGTCGAGTAAGTCAACAATTTTATATATAAATGAATTGAATTTTACGAATTCTGGCCGAGTCTTTTTTAAACTCATATTTTTAAACGATTTAAAAAATTACTTAAACTCGACTTGTTTAGAACACAAATCGAACTTGAATCGAGTTTTATTAGATTCGACTAGCTCCTCTACCCTAGACAACTATGCATCGAATTAAACAATTAGAGCTCATTTGGTAGACATATTATGAAGGGATTAAATATTGAATTGTACTATTTTTTATTTAATCGGACATAATATTTTGTTTGGTAAGTAAATTTGATATCGTACGTATACTAATCATATATTTATTATATAATAAATTTATATTTTTAAAAATATTTTAATAGTACTAAAATAAGTGGTATTATAATACAACTCAAAAAATTATTTTATATATTTATTATTATAANTAAACGATTTAAAAAATTACTTAAACTCGACTTGTTTAGAACACAAATCGAACTTGAATCGAGTTTTATTAGATTCGACTAGCTCCTCTACCCTAGACAACTATGCATCGAATTAAACAATTAGAGCTCATTTGGTAGACATATTATGAAGGGATTAAATATTGAATTGTACTATTTTTTATTTAATCGGACATAATATTTTATTTGGTAAGTAAATTTGATATCGTACGTATACTAATCATATATTTATTATATAATAAATTTATATTATAAAAATATTTTAATAGTACTAAAATAAATAGTATTATAATACAACTCAAAAAATTATTTTATATATTTATTATTATAACCCCTGATGGATAGAATCGAGTGGACAACGATAAAACAATTCACTAACTAAATATCGCCTACTTTAGTTAAAGACCCACCAACACGTACTTTAGTTACACCCAAACCCAGCTGCCCAGCTGGAGCTTAGTGCGCAATTCCAACTCTCTCCCCCCCCCGGGGTAAAAGGAAAATTTCCGAAACAGACGCAAATTCCAAAACCCCATTCCCCCACTCTCCGCCTCCTTATCTCTCCTGCGGTCGTCGCCGATTCTGAATCAGACCCTAAGTGAACAAACAATCTATGCTTAACCGATTCGATCCTATATGGAGACTAAGAATTATCACATTTTCGTTTCTAAATCTGCTCGATCCTATTTCCAAGTTTCACTTTGAATCAGGTTCGGTTCCCAACTTCTCTCTTCCCTTTATCTTCTTTTGACAGTACTATATACGATTCTTTCGATCTCCGGCTCACGAGCTCTATCGCTGCTCCTTTCGTTTGGTTGTTTTTTCAATTGATTTGAAAAGTTAGATCAAATCAAGTGACAGAGTCGGTTCTCTATGCTGTGTGATTTGATAAATGACTTCGATTCGAAGAACTTTATCGCCGTATAACGATCGTCCGTATCAGAACGGGGGGAGTCCATTTGCAGTACAATCGTCATCTCAGAAGCTTCTCTCCAATGGGAAATATTCGTCGCCTTTGACTACATTTGGTGTCGGAATCCGTAGATTTCTCGCCGGAGTAGTTTTCCAGAAGTACTCGCGGAAAGGACAATATTCATGGAGGAAATCGTTTTACAGGTGCTTATTGTTCTTCTTGATAGGGATTTTATTAGGTATGACACCATTTGGTGGCGTCGAAGACGTTCGAAATCACGATTTTTCATTTGAGATCAAGCCACCTGTGGTGAATGTACAAGAGGATGTGAGCGATGTAGTGGTGGCTAGACCGGAGAATTTTGTGGTGGATAAAGTGGAATTACGTGTGGAAACGAAGGTGAATATTAAGGAAAGGTTTGATTTTATGCCTAGNGTGAGCGATGTAGTGGTGGCTAGACCGGAGAATTTTGTGGTGGATAAAGTGGAATTAAGTGTGGAAACGAAGGTGAATATTAAGGAAAGGTTTGATTTTATGCCTAGGAAACAGTTAATTGTGGTGACGCCGACTTATAATAGGGCGCTTCAGGCGTATTACTTGAATAGATTGGGTCAGGTGCTAAGGCTTGTTAGGCCACCGATTCTGTGGATTGTGGTGGAGATGCATGTGGCATCATTGGAAACTGCACAGATTTTGAGGAGTACTGGTGTTCTGTATCGTCATCTGGTGTGCATGAAGAATTTGACGGATATAAAGGACAGGGGTGTTCATCAAAGGAATACGGCTTTGGAGCACATTGAGCACCATAAGCTTGATGGGATTGCATACTTTGCAGACGATGATAATATCTATTCCCTCGATTTGTTCGAGAGCATGAGAGAAATCAGGTATTTTGAGCTTAAGGGTATTAGTGATGCCATGTTGGATTCCAATGGTTGAACAATGACGCCAAACTAGAACTATAGCAATAGGTGCACTGTACACAAATTTGCATTAAAATGTGAGTTATATTTATGATCTTATATTGTTTGAACATAAGGTAGAATGGGTACGATGAGCTGGAGTTTGTGATGCATTTGTTTGGTGCTATATGTTGATAGACATCAAATAGTTCAATTCAGTGGCATTGTTTGTTTTTATGATGTGCTTCTGCAAGTAGAGAATCTAGAAGCATGACACAGTACAGTAACAGGGTTTTTATGTATTCATCGGGACTGTTAGAAATGAAGCCTATGTTTGGCCCATATTTATATATTTTTATATTATTGGCTTCTTAAAAGTTTTCTTGACATAATTGATCTATTCCTATGTATTGTATGTGCCTGTTACCTTTAGCTCCATACCATTCAGTTCCTTTCATTTTCAGTTGCTTTTAGTGGCTATCGTTTGCTTTGCAATTTGTTCTGACACTATTNTGACATAATTGATCTATTCCTATGTATTGTATGTGCCTGTTACCTTTAGCTCCATACCATTCAGTTCCTTTCATTTTCAGTTGCTTTTAGTGGCTATCGTTTGCTTTGCAATTTGCAATCTTTGTTATTTGAATTCTGTTCATAAGCTATCACTTATTTACCCAGGTTCCTCAATGATTATTTTTCTGAATGTAGAGAGCTAGTATCACGGGTGTGGCTCCCCTCAAATTTCACAAGAATTAGAGGATAATCCAATTCTCTTTTGAATGGTCAGGATCTGTACATATCAAGAGATTCAGTTCATTCAAAAACTGTCCTGAATCTTTGGTATTCAAAATCAACTGACACTATGAAAAAATTTTGATCCTCCAATTCTTGTGAAATTGAAGGGGAGCCTAACTCTTGTATGAGAATTGATTGCATTCAAGATCTAGCTGGCATTTGTTTATTAAGAAAAAAAGAAAGAATCTAGCTGGCATTTTATTTGTGATCCAGGTGTCACCCCCATTTTGTTTATGTAGTCAAATTATTGTCTCCAGCCCAGAACAGTTTTTATCACATCCCAAATTGATAGAAGCCTGTTCCTCTCTCTCCCACCCCCTTCCCCTAGTCTCATCTCTCTTAACACACACTAACACACACACACACGTGGATACACATTACAGTGACTATTTACAATGTGAAATAATTAAAAGTTCCAACACCAACACAATTATCCCTTGATTCATATCCTATATGTGTTGCTTCTACTTTTCACAAGCATTCTCATTCCTAATTCTATCATTTCTAGTTTTAATTACAAATCCATTTCAATATTTTATTTACACACACTCATTTTTTAAACGTATTATTTCTTAGTAGTTCAATATTCAGCACCACAAAGCATAGAGGACTTTATGGTCGTTTTTTGTAACTTTTCATTTAACTTGAGGAGTATGCGNAGCATTCTCATTCCTAATTCTATCATTTCTAGTTTTAATTACAAATCCATTTCAATATTTTATTTCCACACACTCATTTTTTAAACGTATTATTTCTTAGTGGCTCAATATTCAGCACCACAAAGCATAGAGGACTTTATGGTCGTTTTTTGTAACTTTTCATTTAACTTGAGGAGTATGCATGTATCACATAATTCACCGGATGCATTCTTCTATGTAGTCCATCCTGTTTTAACTCTATGAGTGAAAATGCCAGCAATCTCACTCATTTATGGATAATTGACCCTAAATATCAAAAGTATTCGCTCTTTGATATCTCTTTCTCTTCATTTTTACTACTCCCAGTTTGGGTTCCTTGTTTTACTAAAGTTGCATACCATATATTCAGTTTTAGTAGTACTAAGCTTGAATGTTTTTTATTTTAGAGCCTCCCATCAAATTNAATGCCAGCAATCTCACTCATTTATGGATAATTGACCCTAAATATCAAAAGTATTCGCTCTTTGATATCTCTTTCTCTTCATTTTTACTACTCCCAGTTTGGGTTCCTTGTTTTGCTAAAGTTGCATACCATATATTCAGTTTTAGTAGTACTAAGCTTGAATGTTTTTTATTTTAGAGCCTCCCATCAAATATCTAGTTTATTATTAATTCTTCTTTTCTTTCATCAATTAATACTATATCATCTGCAAACCGATTTGAAATGAATACTTAAGACATTCACTTTTGATTTTCTATTCTTTTGTTTTATTTTAAAACTATGGTTTGAGGAAGCAAGTCACCCACTTTTTGTTTTCTAATTTTCTTTATTATTCTTGTTGATATTGAAGGTTTCCTATAAAATTTCTTTGTGGAGATGTGGGAAATGAAGAGTTCTGGTAAACATGTCCAAGTTTGCCCACGATGCTTTGTTTACTCTAATCTCTAATTGGGTTGTTATTCCTTTACATTGCAGTCGTCCAATTATGCATCTTTACAATGCTTATATGTCCCANTGGTAAACATGTCCAAGTTTGCCCACGATGCTTTGTTTACTCTAATCTCTAATTGGGATGTTATTCCTTTACATTGCAGTCGTCCAATTATGCATCTTTACAATGCTTATATGTCCCAGTCACCATAACATTTACTTTGCCTCAATTTACTTTTACATTTCATTTTCATCTCCCTTTGTTTCTACTGAAATTGTACTTTGGACTGCTTAAAAAAATGTTGTTCCATCATGCCTGTTTCATAGCTGCGGATAGGAAGCTGAGATGCTACCTCTTTTCCTACACCCTTCCTATTCTTCCCTCCCCCAAAAGATTTGTAGAAGCTCCTATGTCTGAAGTTAAACTGAAGATTCGATTACATGATATAAATCACTCTCATTGTGACCACAGCTTATTCTTTAATTGTCTTGATTAGTAGCGGTTGTTCAAACTTATTTAGAAGAAAAAACAGACTGATTTTCCTATTGATCAGCTGCTGAAATCCTTGTTCACATGCTTGGGCTTTCTCTTATGGGTATTCAGTATACTGATTCACTTGTGCATTACAGCCGTTTTGGCACCTGGCCCGTTGCCATGCTTGCACAAAGCAAAAACAAAGCAATATTGGAAGGTCCAGTGTGCAACGGAAGTCAAATTATTGGATGGCACACAAATGAGAAGAGTAAACGACTCCGTAGATTTCACGTTGATATGTCAGGCTTTGCCTTCAACAGCACCATATTGTGGGATCCAAAAAGATGGAAAAGACCTTTTCCATATCCAATTCGGCAGTTTGACACTGTGAAGGAGGGTTTCCAAGTATACTCCATATCCTTTCATTTCTTAAATTCTTTCATCTTCCCATGCTAGATGGAAATAAACTTGGCATGCAATCTGAAAATTTATTCTAACATCATGGTTTTTCACAGGAGACCACATTTATAGAACAAGTAGTGGAAGATGAAAGTCCAATGGAAGGTATCATTCCTGGTTGTTCAAAGATTATGAGCTGGCATCTCCATTTAGAAGCTCAGGGACTTGTTTATCCTAGAGGTTGGCAGCTCCAGAAAAACCTAGATGCTGTTCTCCTAGTTAAGTGATGGGAATTTGACCCCCATACTCTGGACTAGCCTAACTGAGGTATGTCTGGCTCTTTCTTTATATGCATTTGATCTTTTGAACACATAAGCATTCACTTAGTTAAAATATAAGGTAGACAATGATGAGATTTTTGGAAAAAAAACCCCTTCTAAAGCAAAGGGGAGAGAGAGAGAGAGAGAGAGAGAGAGAGAGAGACACACACACACACACACACNGGACTTGTTTATCCTAGAGGTTGGCAGCTCCAGAAAAACCTAGATGCTGTTCTCCTAGTTAAGTGATGGGAATTTGACCCCCATACTCTGGACTAGCCTAACAGAGGTATGTCTGGCTCTTTCTGTATATGCATTTGATCTTTTGAACACATAAGCATTCACTTAGTTAAAATATAAAGTAGACAATGATGAGATTTTTGGAAAAAAAACCCCTTCTAAAGCAAAGGGGAGAGAGAGAGAGAGAGAGACACACACACACACACACACGGGGAAAAGGAGGAAAAAAATCAGAAGGTAAAAGAACAGTAGTGATGAGTTCCTTTTTCAAATCTAGGTAAGTAGCCTTAAAATGTGGTTAATTTGCTTTAGTTTTATTGTTTTCGGAAGCATAATAACATCACAGATTTCCCAATTCATAGGCTTTGAATGTTGTTACCACTGTATACAGTATACGTATATCTTCTTCTAATAGTTTATCTTTTCCACGGCAGCATTATCATTCTATGCTAGTGGCTCCCTCATCCTGAGCAGATCAATCCAACAAGTGGCCACTACAAGCAGATGCTGCACTGTCTCATTCTAAGCTGGCAAATAGAAACAGCCAAACGTAACACGACTTTTATTTGTAGATTTTTTTCCCGGTGAAATTCTTTTGTATCAACGATTTTTTCGTTTTTTACTTCTAAGCTCGGTGTAGTTGCCTCAAAATANTCTTCTTCTAATAGTTTATCTTTTCCACGGCAGCATTATCATTCTATGCTAGTGGCTCCCTCATCCTGAGCAGATCAATCCAACAAGTGGCCACTACAAGCAGATGCTGCACTGTCTCATTCTAAGCTGGCAAATAGAAACAGCCAAACGTAACACGACTTTTATTTGTAGATTTTTTTCCCCGTGAAATTCTTTTGTATCAACGATTTTTTCGTTTTTTACTTCTAAGCTCGGTGTAATTGCCTCAAAATATCTTGGACAATTCACATCCTTTCCCCTTACAAAATGGAAGAGGTTTGTGTTGTGAAGTTGGTTTGGTTGTGAATTAATGTCATAGGTTCTGCCTCCTATCAAATGTAATGTAGTTGTTCTGAATTGCCTTTTCAGTATAATATGCTTAAAGTTGTCTTGTTAGAGTATCTTTTACAAGGTTTTGTATTTTAACTATTCAAAAGTAAATTTTTTTTTTATTATAACTACTCACTTTTTCAATATTATATATTTTTTGCCTTTGTTGAGATTGTTGGAGAGAGAGAGAGAGAGAGAGTTAAGGGAAAGACNTTATAACTACTTACTTTTTCAATATTATATATTTTTTACCTTTGTTGAGATTGTTGGAGAGAGAGAGAGAGAGAGAGAGAATTAAGGGAAAGACAGAGAGTAGACCAAAAAAGAGAAAAAAATTATAAAATATTTATACAAGTTATTATAATGATGATCTATATTTAAAATATTACTATAGAAAAAAAATATTTTTTAGAGTATATGAACATATTCAGTTGAATTTATTCTCTCGTCATTTTAAGTGGAAATTGATGTCATCAACGCACGCAGTCCTCTCTCTCGCTTGCCTAATTTCATTCTTTATCAGTGTTTCAAATTCCCAAACCATAAAGGGAGGAATGGACGCCTTCAACTAAGATTTTTGGTGAAACTACCTATTGAACAAAACACAGTTTTATTAAAAAATGCTGTATCTATTTCCACACTGGATATAAAAACTAATCTACAAACGATTAAAAACATCGAAAAAAAATAATCAGCTAATGTACATTCTGTGACAAGCTGAAGGGTGGAGAGCTTTTGGATGATGCTTTCTCGCCGGAAAAATGTGTCAGCACGCCATTGCCATCCCAATCTAATTCACCCAGATCTTACTGAGCAGCAGAATGTATACCATCCGAGTAATCCACCGACATTTTCCCCCTATTTGCAGTGACCACGAGAAGATTGGAAGCGTGGTATGAGCCCAACCCTAATTTGGTAAAAGGTGATCTTGTTTTTTGGTGGTGTTGCTGCTGAATTTCTCAACTCCCACAGAGCTCACGTCAATGTCGCACCATGAACTGAAGAACTTGTGTCTGAGGCATGCAAAGATGTGAGATGTGGTTGCTGCATATGTGATTCATTTGCAAGGCCAAGAAGCAGCAGGGTTGATCTGCCAAAATGCAATCCCATTAGATTCATCCAATCAAGAATAATCGAAAATAAATTGTTTACAGACATAAAAACAATCTCATTTAGAAANGACGCCTTCAACTAAGATTTTTGGTGAAACTACCTATTGAACAAAACACAGTTTTATTAAAAAATGCTGTATCTATTTCCACACTGGATATAAAAACTAATCTACAAACGATTAAAAACATCGAAAAAAAATAATCAGCTAATGTACATTCTGTGACAAGCTGAAGGGTGGAGAGCTTTTGGATGATGCTTTCTCGCCGGAAAAATGTGTCAGCACGCCATTGCCATCCCAATCTAATTCACCCAGATCTTACTGAGCAGCAGAATGTATACCATCCGAGTAATCCACCGACATTTTCCCCCTATTTGCAGTGACCACGAGAAGATTGGAAGCGTGGTATGAGCCCAACCCTAATTTGGTAAAAGGTGATCTTGTTTTTTGGTGGTGTTGCTGCTGAATTTCTCAACTCCCACAGAGCTCACGTCAATGTCGCACCATGAACTGAAGAACTTGTGTCTGAGGCATGCAAAGATGTGAGATGTGGTTGCTGCATATGTGATTCATTTGCAAGGCCAAGAAGCAGCAGGGTTGATCTGCCAAAATGCAATCCCATTAGATTCATCCAATCAAGAATAATCGAAAATAAATTGTTTACAGACATAAAAACAATCTCATTGACCATGGTCTGGAATTCAATTCTATCTAGTGATAATTGGAACCTAAAAATTACGGTATGTTTGTGTGTCAGAAAGTTCACATAATTACATGGCAAGTTACAAATTTAAACTTGGGGGTTCATTGCAAATAGTAATAGAGAGGAGCAAACGTGTGCTGGAAAAATTCCAAAAATATTAATTTGCAGTTGGAGAACCATGGATACAATCTATGTGGACAACCACAGTCGTGGAACCGCCAACTTCAATCTAAATGCCCTTGCAGTTGATTTTTGAGTTTTTTACTTCTATTCATTATTACTGCCAGGAAAAGAATAGGGGGAAACAAAATTTTGTACATTTTATTTTTACAGAACAATCAAAATTTAGAGAGTTGTCAATCACCGAAATCTTTAATCAATGTATCATAAGTTTGCCACAAACTATTCGGCGATGCTCAGTCAGATTTTTGCAACTAAATTGACACCAAGTTGTTTCATATACAGAATCACACAGAAAGGTCTCCAGTAAGTCTACCAACATCACTTACCGAGAAAACAAAAAATTCTACCAACACCAGTCAAACAAGAGCTGAAAACTAGCAAATCCCATTACCACAGGATGAATGATTACTGATCAGGTTCAAGACAATAGTACCTTGGTAGTGAAATTTTAATACTAGGTTGGTTGGCATAGGCGGCAAGGGGACCTCGAAGTTTAGCATATTTGTTCAAGGCATTTTCAATCTGTGGTGATGGTAACTGCAAGTAAAATATAGAGGTCCAAAGATTGTAGATTCAGAAAATCAACGAAGGCAGAGGAAATCTTTCCACTAACAAATAGACGCAAAATACCTGTAACAACACATGAAAAGAATGTGGTTGGGTCTGAGAGATACATTTCAAGAATCCAACCCACAATTTTGGCATCCTCCATACCTACAACCAGCATAAATAAAATGGTTCAACTGTCATCATAGCTAAACTAATAACCAATTACCACTCGTCACAAAATCATGTCAGAAGTTCCGAATTAAGTTGAGGTCTTCTCATCTTCAGCCAATGTACCTGTCTACTCACGAGTTTGGAGAGTATTTCCATGACAAAATCAACCTGGATATAAAGAAAGAATTGTGGTTATAAACAATTAATAAATTCCTTCAGTATATAATTCGACAACTCAAAGCAGTAACGATACACATACAGAAAAAAATAGATTTAACCAGCAACATGATGAATAAGTCTAATGCCATTTGAGGAATTGATGTTCAACCTAGACATACGGTCAACCACAAAATAGTGATAAATACCATATCCAAAAGCTCAACACTTGCAGTTGTGCACCAAATAAAAACTTTTAGACAACGTGGCGTGTTCACCACTAAAGCCGGTTTAGAAAAACAAAATAATATATATCCATCAGAATGACTTGTTAAAAATTTGCAGCTGTCTAGGTTAATCCATTATTTTTAAGTCAACAGCTTTATTAGTTGTAACCCCATTATAGTTACCAATAGTGTTTCCCCCGCTTTATGGATAAAAACAGTGGCAAATACAACTTATCCAGAACTAAAATACTAGATCAAACTAAAGGGAAAGTGTTACTTCTTTTGCATTCATGCATTTAGTATGTGATGCTCGAGGACATTGTATACACTAACATCACAAGTTTTGTTATTCCATTAACACATTCCTTTGCATTTTTTTCATTTCAAGAGAAATATAAAATATGCTATTATCCGCCATCAACTCGCATCAGTCTTCATATATTCTAGCATTCCTTTCCCCCCAAATGACCCAAACTATAGCAAAGATTTCACAATTCCAAAGGGTCATCCCTTTATGCCTCGCAAAAGGCAACCTTTTCCCAAGATAAATGATATATATAAAACGTTACATGGCAGATGAGCCCATACAAATCAGTCTACGCAACCAAAGTGTAAAGGATAATATGCTTCAGGTTTATATGGAAATTAAGGCATGAAGGTAGAAGAGAAAGAACTACAGTTACCAGTGTAGGAAAAGCATCAATCGCCTGGATTACCGTTCTCATGAAGAGCAGAGGGAGAGGAGTTTGATCAACCTAGAAAATGAAAAAATTATGACACACAAAAGACTTGATATAATGTCCAGAAGCTTCCAATTTGCTTATTAATAACATTTTCATACCATCTGGTTCAAAGCCTTTGCCAGAACCTGCTGTGTGAACACTGTGCGCTGCTCAAAACAAGCTGAGCAAGCATCAGTTATCTGTAAAACATAAAAAGGATTAAAAACAGTGTAAAGGATATCATGCATTAAAAATCCAGGGTTACAACCTGGGAACCTACAAGGTTCATCTACATATTTGATGGCCACCAGAAAATGTGATACATAAGTGCAACTAGTCATTGGCATTCATGATTCAAAGTATCAGCCAATACCGATACAAATCTGCCAAGTTGTATTTGGAATGGTACATTCCATTCCATTCCGAGACCAATACACGTTCCGTGTAAATCACGACTTTCACCGTCTAGTGGATAGACTCAAGTCGTATGGGACTCATGGGTATAATCGTATCACAGTGCACTGACCGATACTACCAATTTGAAAAAAGGAATACAAGAAACCAAGCAGATGAACAGATGACCAACCTACAATAAGACAAAAATCTAAATCCAAATTTGGTTATCTAAAGATGAACCAAGGAAATATTTGTAAGCAGCCAAGGCCAAAGAGCAAGCAGGGCGTATCATCTTGACACCGTTGTGCGACGCCGCAAGCCCTTCAAGTTAATGGCCGATACGATGACTTTGAACATGAATCTTTCAAGGAGATATGAAACAAGCTGACCACAAGTGGCTGAATAACTCCATTGAGTGGAGCAGCTTAAGGTCTTCGGAGACATACACCAGATTATCTGAACCATCTAACAGTGAGTAAAGTCAGGAGGACTTACTTGCCTTATTTGTTCATTGACACTTGGTCAATAAATGGTCATTGGCTAGCATCAAGTTAGTTTTGGGAGACACTAGAAACCCATCAGGTAAACTGGGGGACAAAAGTTAGCTCTCAGCACAGTGAGAGTAACACAGACATGTTTACATCATCTGAAAAGACTCATCTTTAGAGTCTTACCAGAGTCTTACCAGAATACCAAGGCTAGCAACACAAGTACAAGTATTCAATCCAAAAGGTAGCATACATGCCTTTTTAAGTGCAAGGCCATCTTTCTCAGGATTTATATCATGGATAGCAACCAACACTTCTGCCGGAGTCAATGCTGGACCTTGGTGAGCTGAACCCTGCCATGGGACATATGCACCAAGCAAATTTATCCTTCAAACAATACCAAGTAACATTTTGTCCAAAATAGAATTTTGAACCTACATTCTTGCTTAAAGCAAACAGATACCTCGAAATTTTCAACAATTTAAGCAAAATGCATGCTGCCAGGAAGAGGGAGGGACAAAAAGTCCACCCAAGCATATGATATTAGAATTAGCACGTATAAAGCTGTTCAATGAACAGTTTCGGAAGTCTTCAGCAAAATATTATTTTAAAAGACAATAATCAATGAACAAGATCATGACTAGCAAAATTGAGCAAAACGTGGAACATGTATAACCAACCCCAAGTAGTTGGGGCAAGGCTTTATTGAGTTTTGGTCAGTATGTATTAGTAAAATGTATGCATATACATCCTATGGTGATAGTATCAACGATTCCATGTCACCCAACATCTTTTCTCCCAGTTACTACTCAGTTGAATATCCTTCAATACTTATTTATCCCCTATGTATGTTAATCAATGTCACCAGTCTGATGTGGATAAACAATCAATTGAATCTAATGGTCAGTTTCAAAATGCCAGCATATGTGTACCTAAATACATATTTTACCTGTCTAGGGTGTTTTCTTCAAGAGGTAAATAAACTGAGACAGTTCATAAAGAAAGGAAAAAGAACCAAACAAAGAACCTTAAAAACTCCGCAAGCAAGTCTGAAGGAGTTGAACCAAGCAGAAATGGCTAAAATAGTAAAGATGCTTCCTATATTTCCGTTAGTGTAACTCACACACCAAGTAAAAGAGTACAATAAAACATTTAAAAAAATGGATTTCGAGGATTGATAATAAGCACGGATTCATACCTGCAGTATGTGAGCAAGCGCAGTTTGAAACTTATCCAATGGAAGGTCGACAAGCCGTGGAAAGATGGGTAAAACCTGATAAAATAAGATGATTAAAGCCCATACAGACAAGACATTTGATGATGCTAGCAACACAACAATGCCAAAAAAATCAGCTCCTTTTTCTCTACCAAGAGAAATGTAGAGTCGTATATAAGAATGTTATTGCATCACATAAAACAAGAGTGACTAGGACATATAACAAAGGACGCAACCAGGAAGCCAGTTATGACTAAACTCACATTGGTATTATCACCAGGAGCCTTTAGTCTGTCGTGATGAAAATTGAACTACTAAATTCAAAAATGCAAAATTAAGTACTCCTGCTGTGGATTTGGTCAACTATATAAATGTAATAAATCAATACCAATCCATCATAGATCACCTTAGAAACATGCTAAGTTCTATTAGACTATGATAAGAAACTTCTAAAGTTTGCATTTCCATGTTCTGAGCAGATGTCTTTAAGTAGAACAGAGAAGCTGATATTTTCAGACTAGTTACCACACATTCAAACGTCAAACCTTCCATCACAGATTCCCAGGGGGTGGATGCCTCATTTGGTTGAGATATAATAACTAAGATAAAGTGATACCCATTGTCATATCACTTAATTTCTGGAGGCCATCATGTTATTGTTGAAAGTTGAAACAAACAAATGCTTCTCTCCATGAAAAATTGAAGGTGCTACTTATTAGCAGGGTCCAACTGTTTATATGTCAGGCACCACATGGCATGAGTATGCGTATAAAAGTATAATTGGACACGCTAAATTTTGGCCACGACAACATGCACCGGATATATTGCATGAAAATAGGGAGAAAAACAAATTCCTAGATCAGGGTAGCCACCTCAGAATGCTTTATTCTAATTTTCATTCATGGAATGGATATATTGAAATAAGTGCAGGACCCCTGGTGTACTCTAAATTTTTTTTTTGCATTATTCCAAATGGATGCACCAAAACCCATTTCACTTAGGTTTTAAATACACCTACACTAGAATCTAAATTACCTTTATGTTTCTATGTATATTATGAACATGAGTAAGGGAGTAAAAATTATAATTTGTTATCTTCTCACTCTTTGTTCCGCTCAAGGGATGTGCAGTGCATGAGCCTGTCTTTTTCATCATCTGCTCATGTTAACTATGTCACACATCTTATGCATAACATGGGCAGTGGTCCGTGAATGTCATCTCTGTAAAGTTGCGATGATTGGTTGCAAAAAGGTAGACTCTCCAAATACATACAGTCACTATTACTCCCACAAACAAAACAACCAATACAGCAACATAACTAAGAAGCAACCCCTTGCTGCATCTTGATTTAAAAATAAAGTTGAAAGAATCAAGTTATGAGAGTTATATAGGAAGAAGAAAAAAAATTTATCAACATCCAGGTTATCTTAAAAAAATTAGGGCATGGAAAAAGAATTTTATCTTTAATGCCCATGGGAAATGGAAAATAAAAAACTGAAAAATTATGAGCACAGAGGCACTGATGTGGTCATGGTTCCTTAAAGGATAATGAAGGGACAGGTAGACAGCACACATGGTGCATATAAAAGTCCGTTACAGGGTAATGTAGAGACTGGCAGACAGCACACAAATATACCTACAATGCCAGGAATTTTGATCCATCACAAATAGGCTTCACCTCTGAGGTCCAACTACTTTGATAAAATAATCACATGAATTATAAGAATATTGAAAAAAGAGAACCAGAAAATTGTGACAAATACCTCATTTTTGGCAAACGAAGACAAGATAGGAATAAGAATAGTTGCGTCCTGCAAAAGAAACAGTTCAGGTAAGGCATAAGATAGGAAAAATCTGATTACCAGTAAACAAACAAGAAAGTGAAAATTGGTTAATAGGAAGACCTTAAGTTTGGTTTCATATAAACGTTTAACTGTGGCAACAACATCAGAGGAAGGTGTTGTCCCTTCAGACAAAATATGGAGCACCTTGTAGGAAGGACAGCGGAAAACTGTGTCAGTTTTATCATGAAACAGAAAACTTGAGACGAAAAGTGGATACATTCTCAAAAAAAGATATTTCAATCATATTTTTAAAAAGGAACCTACCAACGTCAGAAGATTTTCACTTCCTCGTGGTGGATTGGATAGTATACAGAGCAATTCAGAATAAGACGACCCTAGAGCCCTTATAAGAATAGGAATATGCCGATGGATAGCCTGCATCATATCAGAAAGTAGTGTAATGCTGGAAGAAGTAGGTCAATCAGACGGAAAGGAGTTATCTCAAAATCAAGCAAACCATAGAAGAAAAAAAGACACATGAGACCTGTTCCTGGTAAAAAGCAATAGCTTATTTTCTTTGAATGGATCATGTTGCCAATCTTAACTTGCTATTAGGCAGGATCCCCTAATTTTGTTACTGGATTTCACTCTTTTCTCCAGATGCGCATATCAAGTGTTTACAATTTCCTATATAAATCATAGCCACCAGGTCCGTCTTTTATGAACCAAAAGCCAGAAGAGACCAAATGTTCAGGGTTGCAATGCCCTTATGAGTTGACAGGATTAACACCAATAAAATACTGATAACTACAGGGGCTGGCCAACTGAGAATCTCACGCCTCATGAAACTAATTGCATCTATAAATTCAGCATGCTAGCCATAATTTGAGTCAAGGTTGGCACCTAAAAAAAACCAAAGAATTAACTCAACCACAAAAAGGATCCCACAGTAATTTAGAATGGGAATTGCAGCCCAAGCCAAATTCATTATGTGCACCTTAGGTTTGTAAATTTGTATAAATAGCGTACTTTTAGATTTTCTAAGAGAAAATTTATCTTAGTTTATATACAAATCAAAGCAAAAAAAAATCCAATATAAATATTTAATCTTATGTTATATCTGACAAATATCGAGATGTCTGTCCTAGTTTGTGATCTGCCAAACCTCAAATGAAGCAGAACTCAATCTGGTTCCACATAAGTGCACAAAGGAGCAACTCAATCTTACAAACTCAAAATACAAAACCAACCAGAGGTCAGGTTGGGTCAGTTAGTCAGCTTCGGTTAACCACATATAAGTTGCAACATAGCATTTGTCCCTTTTGCAGAACTTGTCACATGAAGAAGATGAGCTGTGGGTAACAATTTATGAAATCATCGCAGCCTTCATTTCCAAAATAACTAATGACTAGTAACCGCAATTGCACAGACAGGTAACTTAACTGCAGATATTTCAATAATTTTTTCAGTTACATCAATCAAGACAATTAGAAAGAAACCTGTTTTACAGCCTTGGGAGCACGAGCATAGTTATCAAATACAAGTTGAAGAAGTCTATGCTTCTGCAAGAAAAGAGCATAAATTTCAGCACAACCACAAAAGAACAAAAATAAGCAAGTTCATCAGCTTTTAAAGTTATCAATAATGGAGAAGAAGCATACAGACCTTTGAACATATGGCAAAAAACAAAGAAATGAGGCGCTGAGCTTGAGCAAATGACACTGAGGAATCACTCTGAGAATCCAATTGTGTACCCTTCACCAAGTCATTTTCAGAAACTCCTAAATCTGAAATTTGAGAACCACTAACGGAAGCTTCCTGGCTGCCCATCTGAATGAATAGAAAACACAAAAGAATAAAATAAATCAAAAAACGAGGTTGGACGATTTGTACATTTAATAAGACTAACACTTCAACAATAGAAAAGATTCAGAAAATGGTAAATCCAGCAATCTAACTTGAATATGAAGGAAAACATACAATAAACTATATTACACACATTTCATAAAACAGTCCAGCTTGTGTACAAAAGGTTGGGGATAACTCTAATATACAAACGGGCATATACAGCCACAAATTTGTCAGGCAATGTCCAGATTAGAACAATAGTTGCTATAACAGGTAGAAGGGACCCACTTCTCATGCCTAGGCACAAAGGCTGCTCCCACAGCCGCTTGTATAGGCCCAAGAAGGTATTCCCAGCCAGGCATCCAGAAAACTTCGATAGTATGTAGAAAGGGTGTTCTAGATTTTCTATTTATTCTATTTTCAAAAATAAGTGTAGGATAATCACATTGTACTGACCATTGCAATACTGATAGTTAAACTCGTACAATGCTTGAGAAACTTCACGCATTAGCATTAGTCTATGACAGTGACATGGGTAGGTAATCCTAAGTTTAGAATACTTGCTAAAACAAAGTTCACGGGGCCAACTAAATACGACACTGCTCTCACTGTGCAAGGGCATACTTGGATATAAAAGAAATAAACAATCAAACAAATACCTAGGCAATAGATCAAATTCATAGAGCACTAGCCTAGCAGCCCATTTCAGATTTAAAATCATCAACTAAATAAGATGCCTTGCCAGAGTAGAACCTTCTTTTTTAGTAGAAGTAAGGGATAAAGTAAAAGAAACAAATAGAAAGATATTGCCAAATGTACGGCAATACTACACATAGCATAATAGTAAAGACACAATGAAATCCCAAGTAAAAACAAGAAATGACTGCAAGGCTAAACAGCCTTCCAAACCTCTACAGAAGCCTCCAACCTTGAACTCAATAGACTTATCCTTCTGAGTATCTCATGACATTATCATGATGAAACCTTTTCACATCAAACAGCCTTTATCGTCTCAAGGTTTAGCACTGAAGAGGAAGGAATGCAGAAAGGAAGACACAAATATATTTTTTTATCACTCACCTCCTCTTCTGTTCTTTGCTCAATGGCTCCAGACTGTGAAAACTCTATATCTGAAACATGCTGCTCAACAGCTGATAAGAACATATTTGTTGCAAATTCTTCGATATTTTCCGAAATGTAGTTCAGCACATAGAGTTTGTTTGCCACCTGCACAAAACACGCCGGCTTAAAACATGTTAGCAATTTGCTTCAACTGGCAAACCAGTCAACAGCTTTCAAAACCCCCTCGACAACTCCTGAGAGCCAGTAAGTTGCAAGTCCCATACCAGCCGGATAGCTTTTGCACGAATGTCATCTTGTGAGTGGACAGCACACTGCATTGGGAAAAATGCATCAGTAAGAAACAAATAAAATGTAAGTAATGAGAAACAACACGCACAAATCTTTATTGTGAAGGCATCCACGATTGTTTATATGGGCTCTTTTGCACACAAGGGCACACTAAAGCATTAGCTTGATTTTAAGTTCAGCTTCTAGAGAATGTTAGTAGACCTTGCAAAAGGTCCTTTTTTTCATTTTTACTTCTATTTTTTGGGACAAGTCAATATCATCGATGCGATCTAATAGCTATGCATATGACATGATTTGCATATAAACGCGACAATTGAAATAATTAAGAGAAAAATTGTTAAACTATTGAAACCCTGAAATGGTACAAAATAAATAAATAAAGGGTTAATTTTGCATAATAAAATAAAGGGTTAATTGTTTTTTCACCTCCTTGTGGTTTCGGCTAAAAACGTCTTACCTACTTGACGTTTAAAATTATACACATTACCTACTTGATGTTTAAAACTATGCACATTACCCTCTTATAGTTATATACCAAAGTGAAATAGATACTTTTATCATCTAAGTTAACAGAGAGTGTGCTCCACATGCCCAAAACATGTTTTGGGCTTCCCTCTACAAGAACATTATCTAAGTACCTAAAATACCCTTTATAATATATGGTATAATACCCAAATAGGTAAGACATCAGTCCCAGATCAAAAAACATGTAAGAAAAACATAAGTGATTTTCAGCCCCGGAACAGAACCTCACTTGAGGTAAAAAGAGACTGACGTGTTTAATTGAAATATATTGGTTTGTCGTCATGTTCCATTAGTTTTATGGTCAAGCATAAATTAGACGAAAAGTCAGAATTTAAAAAGTGGGTATTATGGTAATTTTTTAATTCTGTTAACGGTGTCAATTACTTCATTTTAGTACATAACTATAAAAAGATAATATGCATAATTTTAAACGTCAAGTAGGTAAAGTGGCCGAAACCATAGAGAGGTAAAAAATAATTAACCTTAAAATAAACAACACTTACAAACAAGTTATCACACTATTGCATGAAAGTGACAATTTATGAAGCGTCCATGATGGACCCAAACTGCACCCCAAATTGACAACCAACATATGCAATCACTAACAGGAAAAGGTTGGGAAACCATGTATGCAATTACCCAAGATGATATACAAACTATCATATTAAAGTGAGTCCCAATTATCTCAACTTGTCATATTGCAGTCATGCAATGATTTTGGTCAGTAGCCACTTTTTTGTACTTTTCCAGAAGCTGTAGGTCTTCACATACTGTCCCATTTGTGAGAAAGAGAGGCATAACTGACTAAATCATATCTAGACAAAGAAAATAAAGAAAATCACTACAAAAAATCTGGCGGGTTTAAATCCTCACAGCATAATTACCTTCAAAGCTATATCCAAGCAGGCTTGACGATGTACTGGACGCCCCAAAATCAAACTCCACACAGCACCAAGGCCTTGAGTAACACGATCACCATCATGAACATCTTTTCCAAAGCGAGTGTCATAGCACATATCATCCACCAGTTTCAACAACGAATTGGGCAACCAAGGAACTTCGCCGAGAAGTCGACTAAAGGACTTGTCCGTAGCTGGTAAAGAATCCAGCAAAGATTTTGCCTACAATGGAAGAGAAATGTACATAACTTCACATTGGGGGCAAAAGATATAATTAGTTAAGTTCCTACCACTCCCTGGAGGAATTTTTCATATACAGCAGCAGCAAATGGAGATTCTTCGAGTGAATCCGACATGCTAAGAGTATGCAGGTGGTACAGGACATGCATCACAAGCTCGTGCCCCTGACAAAGACCCCAATCCAAATGTAAAAATACAGAATTTAACCAAATTATCAAATAATGGAGGAATCTAATCTGGCCTAAAACACTTTTTAAAACAAAAAAATAATTGAAGATTCAACTAGAATGGCAGGGAAAAATACACCTCACTCTCGGTACCTGGAAAACAAACTGAAACAACTTGCTTAGTTAGCTATGCTGCTGTTAACACAGCAAAAAATCTCACATATAACTGAATTGAGGAAGCTTAGCTAATCCAACAGAAAAATTCAACTTATAAAGTTCGCCCAAGCCCGACCCGACTCCTTCAAGTTTTTACTTACAACAAACATCCCTTCAACATCTCTTAGATGCTCGTATTAATGGTCAGGAATAAAAAATGCAGACAACATTGCAAATAACATGACATACGCAACAAAATAAGAACTCAAGCTCTCAGATAATTGTGAATGTGAATATGCAAGCTTCCTGATGGGGTAGACCACTAGCTATAATTATGAGATCAACAGATATATTAGAGTATATTGGGAGCAACATGAGCAGATTCCAACTAGCCAATCAAGTTCCCACCATCCTTTTAACCTATTGAGACACTGGCATGACTATACATGCATGCCGAATACAAGAGAAAGTCGTTCTCGTAACCATCTGATCATTTTTGTTTTTTCAAGTATAAAAATAAACTGGGGCACATTGAGCGGTAAATCATGCTTTAACACTCCTTTAAAAGTAAAATGATAAAATTAAACTATATATCTCAATTTGCTCAGGCTACCAAATGCAAGGTTATGGGTTCAAATCAGATGGCAACCACTTTACGCATATAATGTTAAAGGTTTGGTACGTCCACCCCCTCCAGTGCTCTTGGTCAACCGGGACTATACTGCATACTGATCTTTAGGGCCCCTAACTCATTCAAATAACCCAACATACTTCTGTTGCAAACATAAGGTGAATCGAACACAGATGCAAGAGGTACATACATATAAATACACCTGTATGAACATTAATGGCATACAAAATGAAAAAACACAGATGAAGCTTAATGAGACTTTAAGCATTTCTTAGGTTACCCTACTTATGCAGGCAAAGTCAAATAAACACATCCATAAATGTACCCTAAAACTGGCCCAACACAATTCCAGATTCGTTTTATTTGTCAAAGAAACACATAAGGTAAGGACCTTGAATGAATGGGAAGCTAAAGGTAAGAATCCAAAACAGTGGAACAATACTCACAAACAAGATTTTGAGTACATAATATGCAATATGCACGCAGACCATTAGCTTTGCAATAGTAGAGTCTTAGTGAGAAGTTTGCAGCCAATATTTCATATGACAGTAAAATAAGTCCAGTGACAATTCTAACCAAACAAAAATTGCAGGAATGCAAAATAGATTGACAAAAAGTTCTAGCATATTGTTTTCAGTTAATTGGTTGCAAAGTCACTGCACAACAAAGATGAAAAACCCAAAAGATCAACCAGACTTTAAGGTAATCTCTCATAATTAGCGTAGTGTGTATATATGAAATGCCTGGGCTCTAGACATAAATCTGGACAGGCATTAACAACTAAAATTTACCTTCTGCTGTTGGTAGTCAGACACAATATGATTTTGCATCATCACCACCACTTCATCGTCAGCATCAATCTACAGGAAAAAAATAGCTACACTTTAGAACTGTAATTAATAATCTACTCCAGTTGCAGTTAAGTAGTCAAAGATCAAAATAACAACACCCCGTGCAATGCATGGAATTTCTGATTTCTCTCCACTGGCACTCCTAACCCAACCCCACTCCACCCCCACACCTATCATACGATTATTGGCAAATTGGTATTTAATGTGCAAAATTGACTTTTAAAAAAAGAAATTGAAATAGTTAATAAAGATGGTGGAAATTCACATCAGGAGTAGTACCACAAATAGTGAGAGTGGTTACATAAATCACATGTAAGAATTAATTGGAGAGACCAATACATTTATGCAAAATAATTCAGAATTAGGAGAATTTAGCATTAAGGGAGGAAAGACTTCTCAAGCTCCTTCACCTAAACAGATGATTGCTTTATATATATAAATAGATAACATGGGTGACTAGAGATATGACAAGCCTTGTCCTTGTCCAAAATCACTTTTACATTGGTGGATCTTTAATCATGTTAATCAACCCACCAGTTATTATAGCTTTCAGTTAGTCGCCAAAAATGGAATCTAAAGCAAGGTATGTGCATCAATAACCATAAATTTTATGAGCTCCAAATCATATAATCCATCAATCTGCATACCTAGCTTTTGCAACTGTCCTATTAATGTCAATTCTCATTTTACAAGTCGACTTAAGAGGATGCTCCACCAGTTGTTACTGAAAACTGATAACCTTGCAGAACACTCGAAGGGACAACAAACATTAAAATTGTATATGCATTATCCATTCCCCTTTCTCTCTCAGTTCTCCAATATGTCCCAATCTCCTATAAGTTTGAATACCATCAAACCACCACAAAAAGATAAAAAAAAAAATTGTGTTCTGGATCCAGAACTGTTTTGCAAATTAGTAGGAATCAATTACAACTTTAACCAAGGGTATCCCAATCCAAAAGCATCATGGTGTCCCTTGACAGCATTGGCATTAAAGTCATTTGAAAGGTCTACAAGAAGAAAACACTACACGAATCGAAGACTTCCAAATCTCCCAATAATGTGTCCCAAATATTCTTAATCCGCCATATGGAAAACGATACAGGCCTCTCACTTAAATGCCCAATATACTCCATTCCAGTGCCAAGTGCAATAGGCTTAACAAGAATCGGGTTTCAACAATTTCTCCACAGCAATACCATGCATTCTCCTGAACATATAGGTCATTTACCAAGTAATCACAAAAACATTTTGATAACAATTGCAACAACTCCTCATAGAAATATATGTTTCATCTGGACCCTTCACAAAGACAGGCAACTCAGGTCAGCCCAGTGTATCACAGATAAAAAATTTCATGGAAGCGTACATTTTCAAATATTATCAAATCCAAGCAAGCCAAACTTCCTCAAATATTTTTCCAAAGGTTCCTCCATTTCCCACTTCCCACATCTGCCATACTCCTTTCATCCCAAAAAAAAATAGAAAATGCCCACCTTATATAGAGAAGAAAATATGGACCGGTCATAGAAACAAACAAAACTGAAAATCATCACGCTTCTCATGAGAAGTTTCCAGGGAAACCATGCAAGTACTGTAAAGATTAGTTCTCATTCAGCCGCCGAAAAAAAGTTTATAAAATGGAAAATCCTAAAGACAGAAGAGTCACGCAACTCACACCCATTGCAGCAACGATTGCAAAATCTCGAACGCATTTTTTCAGTTCTCCTTAGTATGTAAGTGATGTAAAGTGACTAGTAAATCATAAACTAAAGATTATAAATGCAGACAGAGAGAATAAATCCATTAGAGCTTTCCTTCCCCAATGAGTACAAAAAAATTGCATTGGATGACAAACTATTTTTGCCATCTAAATTGCTTGAGGAGGTAAAAAAATATTTTCGCAACAATGATTGCCCCTTTCGATGCTTCCAAAAATCAAATTATAGCATTTCTCTTGCTCACTACCCTATTAGCAAGTATTGATTAAGCATCTGGATTCCAATGGCCATAAAATAGAACTCAACGCTCACCTTCTATTCCAATTTTTAACCTTGAAAAAAAGAGAGATGGGAGGCAGGATTACCGAAGCACAAGTGCTTCTAGGTTAGCCCTTTGCATGGATTGAAAAATACACCAGAACAGGATTTGCTCTCTAACCTTCTTATGCATAGCAGTTGACCCAATTCTTAAACTTTCTTTGTAAGCATCCTTCAGACATTCTGCCTCATTAAATTGCATACAATGGTTTTACTGGCACCAATTTTTGATTGGCACAACTTTGTGTCCGTAAATTCCTCTAAAAACAACTTCAACAATGGAAGTTTCATTGGTGATCTGAATATGGATTCCAAGGCCAAATGTTTGTTTTTTTTTAACTTCTTTCTCTATTTAAGTCTTTTCTTAGTCACTTTGGTAAATGTAATTTGTTAAAGTTCCTAACAAAATGTATTGGTTGGAAAAATTGAAGATTAAGCATTGAAAACTGAATGTTTTAACTTTTTAATCCAAAAACTAGTTGGTATGTACTGAAATATTGACTTTAAATTGGATAAAACTTTTGACTAGTACCAAGCATTGAAGTCTGGAAATTATTAATTTTCTAATTTTGCTGCCCTCTCCCCCATCCCACCGTCACTACCCCATACTAATCACCACCACTTCACCACAATCGTCGCAACACATCACACACACCACTATTGCCCACTGAATCACTGATACCCATACAATTGCCTCCACTACCAGTGTCACCACCATCCAACCCAACTACCATTGTCGCCACCATTATCCCTATCTCCACCATGCCACTGATAGATGGTGGTAGGGGTGATGGCGGCACTAGTGGTAAAGGGTGGTGGAAGTGTGAGTGGCGATGATGATGGTGAGTGGGGGTAGTGATGTTGATTGTACCGAGTGGCGGCGATGTTGATGGTGGCGGCGACTGGGTGGTGAAGGAGGTGGAGGTGATGGTGGGGTGGTGTAAGTGGCAATGGTACTGATGATGGTAAGGTTGATGACAATGGTGGCGTCAATAGGATGGTACTAATGGTTGTAGTGGGCAAATCCGTTGGTGTTAGTGGGATGGAGGTGGTTGGTGATGGTGCAGGTAGTGGTGATGATAATGACAGAACGATTGATGACATTGATGATAATAGAGGTTAGGGTGATGGAGGTGGTGGTGATGATGGAGATGGTGACAACGGATGGTGGTGGGGGTGGTGGTGGTGGTGGTAACAACGACAGCGTGAAAAAGTTAAGGGTGGTCATGGTAGAGTTAATGATAATAGTGGTGGTGGTTGAGGATAAAAATGGCAATGTTAATGGTGACAGGAGTGGAAACGGGTGGGGTGTGGCGATGGCATCAATGACGTGGTGGTCGTTGGTGGGGAGTTGGATTACAAAAAGGATTAGGAAATATTTAAAGGCAAATTTATCCATAATAAAAGTTTATAAAATTCTTATTCGTAGAGAGTACTTAGCATAAGGGATAAGTAGATGACTTGTTACTTATAATTGTTAAGTGATGTGATTATTACCAAACGCACTTAATTGAAAAGGCGTTGCATATTTTCAGTTTTAAGTGCTAAATTGAGTTATCAAATAGCACCAAAGTTCATAAATTATTTGTGGAACAGACTAGACCATTGGCACTACACCTAATTAGTACAGCAACACACAAAATCCTCTATTTGTCGTGATAGCTCATTCTAAATCAAGAGATGAATCCACAAGAATCCTAGCACAATTTTATTTAATCCTAAAAATGCAAACCAGTATTTTGAAACACAAAATAAGTTAATCCTCATGCTTCTCAATAATAAATTTAATAGAAAAAAGGATGGTTCGCCATACAAATGTTACTTCTGAACTTGTACACTCCATACAAGTGTTGCAAATGTTAGATCTCATACTTAACTCTATCAACATTTTCATTTCAACTGCAAACTCGCAACTGAAAAGATTATTGATCCACATCTCATAGGCAATAAATATGAATAGCCAACATAAGGTTTGTATAAACACATACAAAATATCCCCAAAAGGGAAGCAAAAGAAAGTGAAACTTGACAAAGAACCAACCAAGAGAAGGTTCTGTCCCACCTGAGCAACCAATCGAGCAAGCAATGCCATGCGTGTCTGCTTAAAGTCTGTTCCTTGTAAATGCTTGTACGAGTCAATTATCCGTTCAATGGCCAATTTTCTCACAATTCTTTGCTGTTCTTCAGTCAGCTCAACATATGACGGAACAACTGGTAAATCAGGACAAGTCTCCTCTGAGACAGCTGTGGTTGACACAACTGGCGAAAGTTGATCATCTTCCATTAAAGACGACGAATGAGCCTCATCTATCATTGTATTATCTGTTGAATTTTCTGGAATTGTGTCCTGGTAACCTTTGCAAAACGGAGAAACTGCACTATCTGAAGCAATATCAACCTCCGAATGAAGGACCACTTCCTTGGCCTCTTCATCCAAAACCTCCTCCTTATTTGACAGTTGATCAGCACTAGAAACCACAGGATACTCTAAGACGTTTAAGTCAGTTCCAGTTTGGGACATCAAAGGTACTGAAGCATTTTCAACACTTGTCACCTGAGGCACCGAAAGAGCCTTATTCAATGAATTTGGAGCATCAACTGAAGAGTGTATAGCACTGGAATGCACAGAATTTGAATTGTCCTCCACAGTAGGGATTGGTGGCACTCCAACGGGTATTGCCACACGCCGTGGGTCAAGGCGACGTGGATCCTGGAGAAGCTCTAGTTACTTAGAATTAAGAGAAAAGAGAAAACTACAGGAACAGTCTAAATAATACTAAGACAAAAACAAACCACAAAATAAAAATAAAAATACAAACAAGACTAGTAACTATAAATGGGTTCAGTTTACCCTTCGTGGATCGCGTTTAGCATCTGCTGGGAGATCAATAGAAGTGGACATCTCAGACATTGTTTGGCTGATTGCATTTGATGATGTGAAAGGTACTTGTGCTGGATGTATGGGAGTCTGTGCAGAACTTGTGGAACCATTTGGTGTCACGACCTGGGCTGGAACACTAGAAGAATCACTTTGTCGAGTTACTGACAGGCTCCCAAGTCTCGTTAATGGTGGGGCACATTTAGGCAGGTGCTTCATGTTAGTTATGACAATATCAGCCAGCAAATCAGGATGGATTTGAGATATCAGAATTTTAAGTGATTCAGCACCTCTTTCTCCTTCGGCTATTAGAGCACCAATCATGGCAATCATTTGTTCAACAGGAGTTAAAGCACTGTCTATCGAAGGAACCTCAGGGGGTGTCTCTTTAACAGAGTTATCCTGCCTAGAATCACTTATTTGAATTGGTGGTACTGCATGGGTGTTTGGGTCGTAACGCATCCTTTTGGAAGCAACATCATAACTACCATTTGTCTCTTCATTATCTAGAGGTGTGGACCTTTTCTTCATCGAATCCCCTAAAACAGGCATATAACTTAATGGTTGTTCATCCTGACAAACACAGATTTGAGTTACGGAGGCAGTGGTAAGGAAACAAATCGAATAAGCCATCCAAAGGGTTAACCCAGTTACGGAATTCCATATAATAAAAAACAATAAAAACACATAATAGACTATATACCTTGCTTAACCGGGCATCACGTGAAGCACGCCCATTATTTCGCATCATTTTATCAACTTGTCGGATAACTTGGTCGGCCGCATCCCCAGCATTCATTGCTCGCAAAGCCCTAAGCAATCTATCCTTTGACTGAATAAGATATGAAACACAAGATATCAGGCATGAGTTTTAGACACGAAGTGTGTTAGACCTAGTGAAAATCAGTGGAGCTTGTACAGGCGTACAGAGCCTTGTATTGAAAGACCTTAAGTTCCTCCATAATTTCTTTATTGCATGCACACTATATCCTAACAGCCCATAAAAGGTGTACCGCTTCTTTTTGGCCCCATAAAAAACTTCTTTATGCCACAAAAAGATTGTTTTTATTTGTGCATGAATGTATGTTTGCTAGAAAAGTAAAGTGAATAAATCCGTTCAATATGAATACTTATCTGTAAACATCTTTTAAGATTACAATATACAAAAAATTTATTCCAAGTAGGGGAGCCTAAAAATCCTCATTCATAGGACTGCCTTGAAAATAGGAAATTTTGGAACACAAAAAGATCCACAGTTGAATTGGAGCTTAAGTGGCCCAGAGTTGGACCAGCAATTTTGCATTTTGAAGGCCAGGTGATGCAAGAGATGCCACTTTCCGGATGCAGGAGATGTCAAACAATTTTCCCAGACATCATACTCGCATTTACTACATCTTTGAAGCCAACACAACTCTACTGAGTCTTGTCCCAGCTGATTCAAAATTCAACAAATTCAAGAGGAAGAGAGCAAAGGTAATCACAGAGCATAACTTATGGAAAGGATTTTATATCTGAAACTGTTATATAAAAATCTACCTCTACAATGGCTGGATGAGTACACCTCAAGAATCCTAAAAAGGCGGTTCTTAGAGAATACTGAATACTGGCTGTGTGACCTCCCTTTCCCATCTCAAAATTCGGATCAAAATTAAGCAATGCAGAAAGAACAGAACTATAGTGGATGGGCCTCTTCCTCGCTACGGCTGCAAGACTGCAAAACAAAGATCTGAAATGTCAGATTGATCTCAATCCAAGAGAGTTGGCTAATATTGCAAGTGTGATATCAAAGCTTCAAAGCTCAAGTACAATTTTAACGCATGCTCAATAGATAAAAATAAAGATTAAAGTCAGACAGCCAAGACCAAAACCAGGAACACGACCAACCACACTGAAATCTGAATTTACAGAGTACTAAAATCAAGTTCAATAAACAGCCAAGACCATTCGTAATCAATCAAAATAATTCAAAATTTTAACAAGACACATCTCAAGTACTCTATTTCACTCCTAGTGACCCTCAACTTGGACCAGACCAACAGCACATGCTTGGTTATTCAACTCCCTCATAGAAGCTCTACTATTCCTTGTGGCAAGGCTTGATCGCTATCAAATTCAGTGCCCGACAGGCATAGTTTAATGAAGTTATTCCCCCAATGGTATCACTGAAAAACCAACACTTCATCTTCTCTGGTGTAACAAACAGAATGATTGCTTTATTCTTAAAGTGAAAAACCACTTGTCGCTCTTCCATGTTACTTCCAAAATCCAAAATCTTCCAAAACACATCCCCCACCTGCTGACATTTGATCCACAAAACCAATTCCTGAATTTTAACTTTTCCAATGCAATGAAGCTATGGTTTCCTTTTCTTTTCGGTAAGTGTCCAAGGCAATCACACTTTGCACAAAATGCTGAAACATTATGTAGAACCTGCCACTGCGTTGTAGACAGATGATAAAAGTACATATTGTCTAGAGTCTAAAAAAATTGGCGGCGTTAGATTCGGACCCTTTTATTATTTATTATTAATTTTTTGAATTCTTTCCTATAATGAAAAAAAAATGAGATTATCAAAAATTTAAAAATTGCACAAAAATTATAAAAAAAAATAGAAAATTGCAATCTAACTGATTAAAATAAAAGTATGTATATGCATATGCTAGGCAAGAAACTGAGAGAACAACTAAGATTGCAATGGTTCAAAACATGTCTTACAAATCCTCCCTCTGGAAGGAAGTATACTTTATCAGTCTATGCTTACAGACAAAATATTAAGAAACTCCACCAAGCAACCGAATGTAGGGAACTAACCCACTTAAATATCAAGCAGAGCATCAATGTCGATTGCTCATAATCTCACAAGAATGCACTTCTACAAGCTTCCACTTACCAAGAATATTATCGTCCCAGGTTACAATATTGACATATGCCTTGTCACCATGCTATAATTATAAATATTACACAGTTTATGTAAGCAATAATACCTTCTCGCCATGATAACAAAACATTTTTTTTTAATAAGGAAAAAAACTTACATGATGGAAGATAAGTAATAAAAAAATAGACAGAAGTAATAAAAAAATATTACAATCCACAAATGGCTTTCCAATCTGCCCTAATTAAGGACAAAGGAATTCCCAAAAAGTGAGGGCACGCGGAAACTCAAAAAAATGCCAAAAAGTAAAAGCACATACATGGATTAGCCAAGAATAGTGAAAACTGAAAACACAAGCAAACTAACCAATCCAATTTACCCCTTAGGAGCACCAACATAGGGTCTCTGGTGAAAAGATTTTTCTGTAAAAGTTAAGACCACCACAGACACGAGGTCACGAGTGCATAAAATTCACAGGTCCAACTCCAAAAATGAATTAAAATAACACGATATTCTTTCAAAAACAACCTAAGCAACAATTTCAAGATGAAGCCTATATGACTCACTTTCATGAGATATCATACAGCAACGGCATGCAACTACACATATCCAACAACACGAGATTAACTGAGTGGAGGAACTTTTAGTACTCGTTACTTTGCATGAAAACAATATTGTGGTTTTGAAACCAACATGAATACCAAATTGGGTTGACATACAATTCACAAAAATATAAATGACTAGAAGTTCACTCTCTCAATCTTCTAATCAAGGTTTCTTCATTCTCATTGTGGAGTAAATTAACAGGGAATCATCACAATACAAAATCTAGTTTACAAGTACAACAAAGTCCATATGGTCCCCAAGAATATAAATTATTCATAATGTATCATGCAACTACTGGCCAATATGACAGTGCATCATGAAACTAACTTAAGTGAAGCATGCCAATTTGAATTAATACACATACCAAGATATATGGCATTAGATATAACTGCCCAAGTTTTTATCCAACAAGTATATTCCGATACTGATTTCTATGTAAATATATTTTTTTGATTGAAATATTTCAAAAATTCCAAAGAAAATTTCAAACCTTCCCTTAAAGCTTTCTGGATTCGATTCACAGTAATGCACTGTTATGCTACTTGAACTACTCCCAATTGTTATGCAATTTTGGATTATCAGCTCTTTATGAGTAATACAGTCATCTTTAGTATTTCTGGAATTTCTTTTGTTGCCCCCCAAAAAAAAATTGTATATGCCCTGTTCTCTCAGCTTCAATGTTACAAAAATTTATTTTCTGAAGACATTCCAGTATCAAAAATCTTAGATTTCAAAACAACCTTCTTTTAGAATAATACATGTGGTAATGTGCAACCTGTACATATATGCAGCCTCAACCAAAGGAAATTGACATTCCTATTACAAAAGAGGTTGGCAGTTGCAGATTAACAAACAAGATGAAAAGATACACCATTTCATTGATTAAACTTTAATCCAGGATTCAATCAGAGCTTCCAAGCACACATTCAGAATATCATATCGACTTCTCCTTTTGAATTCTTTCTTCAAAAACTCATAGTTCTTTTAAAAATGAACTGCATTGTACAAAACTTCGGTTTCAGGAACATTGCATTCTAAATTTTGCATGTGCTATAAACATATAGGGTGAATAAATAAACGAGTCAAGCCAAGGCCTGACATGATGATAACAATGATAACACTGAAATCAATATATTCTTTTAAATTGGTAGATGAATTGCAACCCTGTAAGAACCTAATTGTTTCATTCCGCCTATTTAAAACGCCTAGCATAAATTCGCAGCAGCTGGAAAGCCTTCTCAATTCCAGGATTGGTACATTTAAATTTTATAGCAAAGTGAAGAGATACGTCAGCTAATCACATGAAAATAATGATTCAGAAACACTCAGATTCACTACTCACATAGCAAAGACTTTTGAACCACATATTTCCAGAATGAATTGTATGCCCTTCTTTAGGCACACATCAGCTGCTTGATGAAAAGGTACAAAATAACTGTTCTGTATTGGTGGAAAACTTAGTCTGGCCCTTGCTTCTGAACCCACCAAACAATTTAATTTCAAGAACAAGTTTATGGAGAAGAACTGTATCAATCTACCCACAAAAACGGGAACAAAATCCTTAGTTTGAATGACTGGTAACCTAATAGCTGACAATCAACAGATTAAATGATCTGGAATAGTATTGATCAAATATAAAAAATGAAACCCCAACAAAAATATGGAGTTCCACATGGAAAGTGGCAGGAGAATAAAGATTCCTAGAAAAGGAAGCAAATAGCCTGAATAGCTGGGAATTCCGAATTAAAAGAAATTTTCTTATTGTAGGCATTAAATGTGTACCAACTTTCACAAAATCAATAATACAATGTTAAACAGTGCGTGCATCCTACAACTGTACGCACATTCAGTACTCAACAATGGTGAAAATAAAAGGTATCTCAAATAGTTTACAACGCATAAACTGCATTGTTTGGTGACAGGTTTTTAAGCAAATGAGAAGACTATTTTATCCATCGCTTAATCATTCCTATCACCGCCCGATGGTGTTGACATGAGCTAACTCCTATCTCCCATTATCTGACCACCACAGCAACAGTCCCAAGCAAAATGTCAATTAACTCCGCATAAAAGTGCTGGACAGCAGCATGCTGCAATAGTACCACAACAAGTTTCCAAGCTTCGGTGATACCTTCAAAATTTAAAAAATAGTAGAGCTGATAACAATACAATATGCATGTAAACTCAAACCTCCACATATATGAAGACATTTAATGTGATCAGAGATAGATAGGAACGTGACAGTATAATCAGATCTTATCACCATAATATTTCAACCATGAATCAATTTGTAGCGGCCGCAAGCAAAATAAAGTCCACTTGAGTTTCAAATCCCACAAGGTGTCATAGAATTTACACTGAAAAGATCAAGAAAATGATACAGAATTCTCAACCAAACAGATACTAACAAGTGACAACCATTCAAAGAACTATAAAATTTGTCGAGAATTACACCTCTAAAATTTCTTCGTACAAAAATTGAAAGAATCTTCGTGAGTTGAAGCAACAATTCACCCCAAAAAATATTGATAACATGAAAAACAAAAAGTGAACCAACTACCTACGAGTAAATGCTTACACCAACTAAAAATAGGTATGCTGACCACTTGGTTTCTCACTTAAAAAAACATGTAATCTTTCGTCAGTAAGGTTAAATATTCATTTCATTTCCCTCAATTGAAAGGAGGAAGTCTGGCCTATACACAACAGATAATAATCACAATAAATAAACTCAGCATGCCACTTTCTTTCTTGCTCAACTCAATGAATAATAATCCAACTATACTAAGCCAACCACATTTGATCCATCCTCTCCAATCCAATCTATGCAAAGTCATATCCTCGACGAAGTAAACAGGAGGCATATAACCTCAGCATTGTTTCTTCCACGTTCATTTACACTAAGTAACAAACTCAGTTTGGATGTTAAATTCATTGTCCTGCCCATTGCCACACTTTTCCTACCATCTTCAAACATCATTCTTCATTAACAAATTGGTTGTCAATTCAACTGACTTCTGTTTGGGGTCAAAGTTTCCTCTCCTTGAGGACCCAAATCATTACTATGAAATGACACCTACTATTAAAATTCATAGTCTATCCCGACCACTAAAAGATGAATACTAATAAATAAATCCACAACATTTATCCAACTCCTACACGACCCCCATCATTTAAATTCCTAGTCTAATTCTAGTACTAAAAGATAAACACTACTAAATTATATATAAATAAATCCACAATATTAATCCAAATCCTAAGCTATACCCATCACATGCTTGTAAAAAGGGTAGAAAGTTATGTGCATGCACATAAAGCAGAGAAGAAAATGAGTAAAATCTCACCAGTTAACAACAGAAATTGTCAAAGAACCAGGGAAAGTACTGGCCGATCGCAAGAAATCCAGTAGAATGCCAAGAGTTCTATTTGCTTCTGTCGTGAGTGCAAGTGGATCCAGAACAGGGTGACCACCAACCACCACTGAAATATTGAAAGCTCGTCCATGTCTTGTTATTGCTATAGCAAAAACAACATTCAAAGATATTGAATGCCAAAAACAAAACCAAAGAGAAAATGGCTGATAAGTCAGGCAAACAAGCTAAATGCAACATTAAACATTTAATGAATATCATATGCAGTCAAATAACTCAATCACTGAAACCTTAAATATGCAATACCTTCAGCTGTAGGTGTTTTGGAATCATCAGTATCAGATGTAAAAAGTAAAACATATGTTTCCAAAAACTTCAGCGCCAGCAACTTCAAACCAACAGTACCAGCCTAAAACATTGAGTCGAATCATGGTTTGTGTTAGCAATGTATTCCACATCTCAACAGCTATTTTTTCCAAGGGCAGCAACCTAAATTAGGAAGGCTATATTCTTTTTGACAGGCAAAATGCAACAACATTAGTTGAAAATCCACAAATGAGGCAGGAATATTAATCTAAGAAGCATATGAGATCACATCCCGCCCAAATAAGAACTATGTCATTTTCCGAAAAGAAATGAAACAGCAAGCTAATATTGTTTTCATCACTTTATTTAAGAGAAAACCATGTATTATATAGCCTTCTAAAATTGATGGGCAGTCAGTGAAACCATAAATCCACAAGTAAACTCCTACATACCTCTAATAAAATGCCAAAAACAGCATCCTTGTACCGGACCATCCAAGCCCAGAGCTCTCCAAGCCACCTTTCAACTATACCACGCCGGTGAAACTATAATTTTACAATATACAGTTTCACATGTAACCAAGATATTGTAAATCAAAATTTGCCCAAAAGAAGAAGCATAAGGAACTTAAGATAAAAAATAAAATTAAATGCTAAACCTCAAAATGAGGCTAGTTCTAAAATTGAATTAATGGTAACTACCTGCATAGATAGTCTCAACTTAACAGCACAGTATTCATATAATTAATAACTATTTATTATCATCGTCATTACCAATTACTATTGTTGTTGTTGTTGTTATTATTATTATTATCATAAACCTCATCATCATCATAATCATATACAATTAAAAACTTCAGAAAATCTGAGTATGATTCCAGGGGAGTAATCTAGATAAGTACACACAAATGAGAATAATTACGTAATTGGCTCTACAAAAAGGTGTGCCCCACGCAGCAATAGAGGCAAACTAAACCTTTACATGACAAAGTAAACAATTCAATGTGACAACCACTAACTTTTTGTAGTCATCTTTACCGATGTCCATCACAAAGTACCAAATAATAATTTGAGATTCCAATCCATATGATATCAAAAATCCAGGGCCACCAAGAAGTTTTTACAGAACATGGCATGCGCTTGATATTGTAACCCTAAGACAAATGGTGAACAACAAAGCATATATTTCAAGGGGAAATGGATGGAAAAAAATTTAAATCACAAACTAAAAAAAAATAAAAATAGTTTTTTCAAACACTGAGAGCTCATGTTCACACACGCGCAAAAAAATAAACAGATATAGAGAGAGGAAGACGGAGGAAGAGTGATACCTGCAACGATAACTCCTCCAATACACCGCAAAAGATATTTGTGCCACTAATAATGGATTGTCTTGCAACAATATTTTCCTTGTCTTTTAAAAATGTCAATAAGACTGGCATGAGTACGGAAGAATGCTCCATCGTTGTCAACCCAATCTCCTCAATCACCCTACCAACAATATATATGAGTTGATAAATAATCATGAGCAATGAAGGAAATGACACAATAACCTTAAACTACAAATGCTATAACAAGCAGCTGTTGTTAGTATCGGCCCATGCATTTTGGAATGGGAATGAGTAGTAATGTTGACACCCAGACAACGGAATACTGTGAAAAAAGGAACCATCTTCTGATTCTACGGGTAAATTATGACCTTCAAAATTTAAACTCCGACACATATCGACCAAAGCAAATAAGAAAATAGTAGCTTCTGAGCTCTTTTAATCATTGACACAAACAGTTATTCATTTCAGTGACTTAGAGATTTTTCCCAGTATACTCTTTGAACAAGTGAAAATAGAGGAAACCTTTACTCATATACCCAAATCACAATGCACACTTTTCAGGCTACAAATATGTGAACAAAGAATGCATGTAGTGCAAGCAAATATACAAGTTAATAAGCTCAAAGAAATCCACAAGTCACAAATTTAGGGCTCACTAGTTTGCTTTAACAACTACTATCCCCTTTCTGTCAAACCCATATCTTTTTTGTACAATCTGGAAAAAAAAAACTTGACACATTTGTTTTGACCCAGCATCAGCATGAAAACTTAAACTTTCAGCCAATGATCAAAAAGATTAACTCAGTCATAAAATTGTAGAAAACAAGTTGGTTTCTTTAGTCCCATGCGGAGGAACATAACAAAACAGAAACTATAAGGTTGCATACTAAGAAGCTGCAAAAGCTAGTTTGTGGACCACTTATGTTCATTGTATCCCATCCAATGGCATGCCAAACTCTGCTTCTGCAGCTATCCTTTCCATTTACTACTGTAAGCATCTCAGCAATATGACAAATTAGAAAGGCTTGCAATTTCCTAGANAGAGAGAGGAAGACGGAGGAAGAGTGATACCTGCAACGATAACTCCTCCAATACACCGCAAAAGATATTTGTGCCACTAATAATGGATTGTCTTGCAACAATATTTTCCTTGTCTTTTAAAAATGTCAATAAGACTGGCATGAGTACGGAAGAATGCTCCATCGTTGTCAACCCAATCTCCTCAATCACCCTACCAACAATATATATGAGTTGATAAATAATCATGAGCAATGAAGGAAATGACACAATAACCTTAAACTACAAATGCTATAACAAGCAGCTGTTGTTAGTATCGGCCCATGCATTTTGGAATGGGAATGAGTAGTAATGTTGACACCCAGACAACGGAATACTGTGAAAAAAGGAACCATCTTCTGATTCTACGGGTAAATTATGACCTTCAAAATTTAAACTCCGACACATATCGACCAAAGCAAATAAGAAAATAGTAGCTTCTGAGCTCTTTTAATCATTGACACAAACAGTTATTCATTTCAGTGACTTAGAGATTTTTCCCAGTATACTCTTTGAACAAGTGAAAATAGAGGAAACCTTTACTCATATACCCAAATCACAATGCACACTTTTCAGGCTACAAATATGTGAACAAAGAATGCATGTAGTGCAAGCAAATATACAAGTTAATAAGCTCAAAGAAATCCACAAGTCACAAATTTAGGGCTCACTAGTTTGCTTTAACAACTACTATCCCCTTTCTGTCAAACCCATATCTTTTTTGTACAATCTGGAAAAAAAAAACTTGACACATTTGTTTTGACCCAGCATCAGCATGAAAACTTAAACTTTCAGCCAATGATCAAAAAGATTAACTCAGTCATAAAATTGTAGAAAACAAGTTGGTTTCTTTAGTCCCATGCGGAGGAACATAACAAAACAGAAACTATAAGGTTGCATACTAAGAAGCTGCAAAAGCTAGTTTGTGGACCACTTATGTTCATTGTATCCCATCCAATGGCATGCCAAACTCTGCTTCTGCAGCTATCCTTTCCATTTACTACTGTAAGCATCTCAGCAATATGACAAATTAGAAAGGCTTGCAATTTCCTAGACACCAAACTCCTATGCCCCATTTACTAAGATTAGGCAAGGATAGTGTTGGTAACCCAGTAACAAGTTGTCACAATATCTCAACATGTGTCCTTTGCCACTAGCAATATCTACAATTTAAGAGATTACAATCCAGTCTTCCAACTGTTCCAAATTCTAGTTAACCATAAATAGTTGGTCTTATAATCTATTTACCAAATAGTTTGTCCTATAGTAAGCCACTAAACCCTATTAAAACCGAGGTAGTCAACATGATATAATAGCCTAAGATTTCAAAGAAATCTGGCCCAGCTGAAAGGATAAATAAAATTCATGTAGCCGATCCCAAATAGGTAAGATAGAGTTGAGTAACTTGAGTTCAATTCTAAACCACCTAATGTTCAATCATAACAAACTGGGAATACCAAAAAATACCTTCCCTATTTTTTTCTGATTATATAAATCAACCTCTCATACGAACAGCCTACCATCGTTGCATACAATAAACATGCACTAAAAAAGAGCAGTTATTAAGAAATCAAATAAAGAAACTGCGGCAATTCAGGGTTTTGAAACGGATGGAAATTTGGAAATCTTGAACTTACTCGACGAGGGCTTTTCGAACCACACTTTCCGGCGAAGACTGAAGCTCGACCAAATAGGGGAAGAGTTCAGCAGCGTGAGACGGCTCCACAGACAACAGGATATCCTTGGCCTGCTTCAAAGAAGACATCTTTACCGCCAAATCGCCATGGTTATTCGCTGCGGCGAGGAAAGTTAACGCTCTCTCTCTCCAATGTCCGTCCATTTCAAAAAGTCCTCAAGACCACCAACAATTCACCGAGAATTTGCAGGTATAACTGATTAACCAGTGGTTTCTGTACCGGGGAAAAAAAAATATTAACAAGGGCGGTTTGAATAGACTGGTTCTGCGTTTCTAGGGTTTTGAAAGAAGAGCGTTTGTAATGGCTACCGTAGAATAACGAAAGATGAGGAACGCGCTCACAAGCGTATAGATATACCGTATCGGACAATCGGTCTCCGATGGTCGGAGGCCTTGAGACTATATAGGCTCGTGGATGGTCCGATAGAGGTTAGGGACGAACCAGACGGTCCACACTATTTGGTCTTTGGTTTCCGCGATATGGGCTTGTCGGGGGAATTTGACCTAGGGCCGGGCGGCGAAATAATTCTCCCACTATTTTACAAAATTCCCAAATTTTACCCAAAACTTTGTCAATCCAATGTACTTTGAATCTCTTTAATTAAAATTTCACCCACTTTTTTGCATATTTCAAAAGCTTACAATATTCCTTGTCCAACCCGAGATAATATTAAATACAACGTCATATTACATCAAGGCCTCCTAAAGTTTGTCACTAATACAGACGGACCCCTTCAAGTATAAAATATAACACCACCGCCCCCTAAAGTTTGATATGATGTAACAAATAACCCCCTGGTGTTAAAGTTCGTCCAGAGGACCGTTAAATCTCAATGAGTTCAACCAATTCTTGTAACAAAATTCCTAAATTACCCCTGAAATATCCATTAATTAAATCACTAAATAAATATATGCAAAACCCAAAATTTTTTAATTTGTAGCAAAAACCTCCACCACACCACCCACCCCCTCCGAAGTCCCAACTGCCAACTCCACCAACTGACAAATTCTGCCACTCTCTCTCTTTCTCTCTCCACACAAAAACACCACACACGGGACACACAGGCGGGACCAGGCGGGACCAGGAAGAGGGTGTTGGGCAGGCGGCGGTGGTGATGTATTGATGGGTCTGGCTGGTCGGTGATATGGGTTTGATGGTGGCTGTTATGGTGGTGGATTTCATGGTGGCTATTATAGTGGTGGATTTCNATGGGTCTGGCTGGTCGGTGATATGGGTTTGATGGTGGCTGTTATGGTGGTGGATTTCATGGTGGCTGTTATGGTGGTGGATTTCATGGTGGCTGTTATGGTGGTGGATTTCATGGTGGCTATTATAGTGGTGGATTTCATAGGCGATTAGGGATAGAACAGAGAGAGAGAGGAAGGGGTCGGTGGCGGGTTTGATGGTGGTTGTTAGTGATAGAACACAGAGAGAAAGGGAGGGGTCGGTGGTGGGTTTGACGGTGGCTGTTAGGGATATAATACAGAGAGAAAGGGAGGGGTCGGTGGCGGGTTTGATGGTGGCTGTTATAGTGGTGGCTTTGATGGTGGCTGTAACAGAGAGAGAGAAAGGGTCGGTGGTGGGCAGTGGAAAGGGATAAGGGAGAGGTTCTGTGTCGGTGGTAGACTGGTTTTATTTATTTTGAATAAGGGCAAAATAGTCCTTCTAATATTTCCGTTAGATGGGTTAGTTGACTATGACTGATAGGAGTGTAATTGTAATATGTCATACCTGAGTGGGTCTATGTATTTTAGTGACAAAGTTCAGGGGGTGTGAATATAATTTACCATAAATACAACGTTAGTACTGCCTCAGGATTGTCATGTGTTACCGTCAATAATATATAAACAAATAAACAAATAAGAAAATAGACTACACATAAATTAATAACTATCCCTTCGATACATTTAATATTTTATTATTAGTGAATAATATTCTATAATATAAAACAGATAAAGTTTTAATAAGTTCATCAAATTGTCTCAAATAGACTAACGACCACTAATATTCTTTTCAAAATCATTCATATTGCACTGTGTCTTTAGACACAGTTCACATCTAGCCATATGAACATGATATTATCATTGCATTGAATATTTAATTATCCAACCCAGTGAATTGGGTTGAATTACATATTCTATAATATAAAATAAAAAAATTTTCAAAAAATTCATTTAACGGTCTCAAATAAACTCATTCAACGATTACAAAAATCCTTTTCAAAATCCTTCATATTATACAGTGACTTCAAACACAGTTTATATTTAATCATATGATAATACTGGCATGATATTCTCGTTGCATTGAATATTTACTTATCCAACCAATGAATTGTGTCTTTCTCCATGTATGATGCACAAACCTTATAATCCACTGTCATCGTTTTTAGTTTTTCTCCCTCATCTTTCTCCATCTATATTGCCTATCTAAAGTGATCCTATAAAAAAATTATTAGAAGAAATTGAGAAGTAAACATAAGTTTTCAAATAAATTAAAATAATAATGTCTAGTCAATGGAAATATATGGATAGTTTTAAAGGGTACATAGTAAAATAATTGAAAAAAAGAAAATCGTTTGAATGTAATTTAATAATTTAAAATTGTAAAAAATTTAAAAAATAATGAAGAATGCTTCTAAAGCCCCCATATAAAGAGAAATGGTTCTTTTACCTATGAAACTTGTTCACTATTAGTAGAACCCAAAGTATATTTTTGTGCATATTGTTACAACCATGAATTTATAAATTCTAAGTATACGTGTAATTTGACCGATTCAATTTGAACCTAATTTGAGTTATAACTTTTGATTTCTACTTCTCATTCTATTATTCTTCTCAAGTTCTGGCAACCAAGAGGTCAAGTAAGAGCCGCTTGTTGTGTGTACTGTTGGATTTGTAATTTCACCATAATGTGTGTAATTTTTGAAGATAACATGAACCTAATCACGAAACTTGAATGTAGGTTTTGACTTTTCCGTGCATATTATAAGTAAAATGTACCTCCAAAACAACTCAACATAGCTGCATTAGTTAAATAAAAATTTTAGTTAATAAAAAATTAAAATATATGTTGTTGAGTTAAATTACATATCAAAAAAAATTAAATTTATATTTTATTATCGATACGATAGTATTTATTTAAAAAGATTATATATCCACTATTGAGCTTTTTAAAACAGTGGACAACAAGCACCTTCAGCCACTGATATGAAGTATTAACCAAGTTTAATGTGCTTGAGTTGTCATTACCAAAGCATTGTGCACAATTATAATGACAATAAACCAATCTTATTTTGATTGCGGTTACAAAATCTCTCTCATGAAACTCAAAATAATCGAATACCAACCCAAAGAAATAAGGAAAAGTCTGAAAAAAAAAAATCAAATCCCAAATTTGAGAGGAATGGTGCTATGTATTGAATTTCACATGCCATATATAAAATTCCACACATCCATCATTGTTCATTAGACTAACTAACTAGTAATTATCCATTGAAGAGTCATATCTCTTTCAACTTGAGCTCAGGTTTTACTTGTATCCAATTTCAACTGTTCTAATGCAAAATTTGATGGAGTGCATGTTAGAGCTCTAATTAATGCATGGCATGCAATCAACAAAGAGTATCCCATGCTTAACTGTCAAAATTGTGAGAGAGAGAGAGAGAGAGAGTCATGAAGGGAAAAAAAAGAGAGAAAACTTGTCAAGCTTGAATTCGTTTTGCTCACCAGAATGAAAGATATTCGAGAACCAAAATCGAACGCCAATGTGCTTGCAAAAGATCATAGCAGAAAGCATATAATATAGTGATGGTAATGTAAGAAGCCAGAAAGGTGGACGTGACTTGCTAAGAATAGAGGAGCATTGTGGCCTGAGCTCTGGCGATAGATTACAGCTATATGCAACACTACAGGAGCTATATTTTTAGTCGGCTATTGCCAGTACCTTTCTTACCTTGATTCTCAAACTTGGACATTTTCAGCCACAGAAATTCTGGAGGTGTTGCGAGTGATGTGATGCTACGATGGTCACAAATATTGCAAAAGATTATCTGTGGAAGTTTTATTCTAATCCAGGCAGGGGATCTTCCCTGCCAGGCATGTTATTTTGTTATATTTATTTGTTCTGAGTTGTGACACATTATATCCCCTATACACAGGTGCCAACTTCAGCATTTCGACATCTTAGAAAGTACTGAAATCTCTGGAGTATTGAGAAGTGCCATGCATCAGCAGGCCAAAAGGGCAGCAGAAAGTATATGATCATAGTGCTCCAGAATCATGAGTTGTTGCAGTATCACACAGCAATAGACGGCATTCTGGCGGCAAATGGAGAAATTTCTAAAACAATGTTGTAAATAATTTCAGAGTGTTGAAATTTTTTAAATTCGAGGATATTAAGTTGAAGCTAGAGATGAAAATTAATTAACTGTCAAGCAACATAACATGAGTTTAACTTGCCAGAACATAATTGGAACAGAAAAAAAATCCATGAGACAAGCATTACTTAGTGAACAAGGCTTGGGGACTAGTGGTACAAGATATGCATTGCTCCGAAATAAACAATTACAGAATATCAACTCTTCCATAAAGACATCAAAAGTAAGCAAGGATAGTTTTGTTGGGCGGCTGCAATATTTGGTATCCTTTAAATGTGATTCAGTAATTCCAAATACCAATGAGAGCACAACCATAACATACTTGACCTGAGAGTTCGCATTTGCGCTCAACCAGAAGTTCATTGTATGTCTTTGAGAGCTAGCAATTCGAACAAATGGAATGGTCTTCTTGTGCTTCCGGCACTGCTACATGCTGGCTCCCAATGTTGATCAGGAACAGCATTGAAACAACTTGTATTCCATTCAAATGCCAAAAGGCATCGCAGCCATTCTTTCTCAGATGGAACTCCAAGTTTGAGCTTTTTCACTGAACATATGGTGCTGACTTTTACAGGTGTCATGAGAGAATGTTGAATCTAACCAAGATAAAACAAAAAAAGTTGAGATAGCTGGTGATTAAGGCTCACGAGTGAACGTATACTCAGTTGGAAGGCAAAAATAGAAAGTTTAGATACCTGGTGATTGCAGAAAATTTATGATATTGAAGAGCTTCTTGTCGAATTCTGCTGCATGGAATAAAATGGCCCAACTTCTGTACAGAGTATGCTTTTGTTTTTACCAATTTTCACCTCTCCAATCTCCATTTTCAAACAGTCATTTCTAGCTTGGGACAATCTTGAACTGAGAGATGCTGGAGGCCCTTGTGATGTTTAAGTCCCGCTGGCAGATAAGATAGATTAAGGCAATCCAAAATTGCTAGAGATTGTAAAGAGGGAATGTTCCCAATCCAATCTGGCAAAGCTCTGAGACCAGGACAACTTTGAATTTCCAGACTCTGCAGCGTTCTGATTTGTGTAAGCTCATATGGTAGAGATTCCAGCTCTGGACACCTTAAAATGATCAAACTTTTAAGTGCAGACAGATGTTGGATGTCTGCCAGCAAAGAGGCCAGGTTTGGGCAATGCACAACTGTCAACTGCTGCAGTGTTGTGCAACATTGAAGTCCCATGGACAGGGAAGATATATTACTAAAATTTTCAATGGACAAAGATTGCAGAGAAATCAAACCTCTGATTTCTTCTTGCAAAGTAGGCATTTTTGGACATCACAAATCTCCAAGGATGTCAAGGAAGAAAGGCTCTGCAGTTCTGGTGGGCAAGATGATAAACTATTACATCGACGAAACACCAATGATTTTAGGGATACAAGGTGAATAAACTCATCAGGTAGGTACAAAAGCTTGGGGCAACTGCTAATCACAAGAGACGTGAGAACAGACTTATTTATAAGCATTCCTTCTGGTAGATACGTGAGCTCCGGAAACAAATGAATTACAAGACTGGTAAGCGATGGAAAATTAGCTGCTGAACCCAATAGCATTTCATTACAGTTTTCCAGCTCCAAATGATGAACAGATGCGAGGCATGGCACTTTTGTCAACTTAGGACAACTTTTTATAATCATTTTTCCCAAACAAGGCATCATTTCACTTTCACTAAAACTAATCCATTCTTCTAGATTGAGGAAATCATCTATTGTAAGTTATTTCAGTGTTGGGAATGGCACAGTTGTGTCTTTACCATAGAACTCAATGCCAATCTTCTGTGTCATGTGCAATCCATTCAGGTAAAGAAATTTGAGACAGGGAAGTTCCCCAAGAGAAGGGAGTTGCTTACGTCTGGCACATTTGATCAACTTAACCGTAGTGAGATTTGGTAAGGCATCACCCCTTATCCAATTTGGAAATGCAATTCCTGGGTACCTTGTTATGGATAATCTTTTTACGTTCGAATTTGGATTGAGATATGCAAGGATGTCTTCACTGTTTCTCGTGAATTCAGCATGATGATGTTGCTGTCTTGATGGCCAAAGTGGTCTACTGTGCTTCTCCTGTAGATCCTCCACATTATTTCCCCAAGATAATCCCAGTGAGTAAATGTTTTGCTTCTCTTTCAAGTTAGTTACAAGGGCATCTATAGCATTGTTCACATTCTCCAAGTTTTTGATATCTAGCTCTCCCCGAATGTTTAGGCATTGCAGCTCTTTGATGCTTTCCCCAACTCCATTGCCCACAATAAACATTGGCAAGGTTTGAAGATTTCTTAATTCCCCCACCCTGGTTGGCATATGAGTCAATGATTCACAACCTTTTATGTTGAGATGCCTCAAGCTAAGTAAGCATCTTGTGCTCTTTGGCAATTCCAGTAGATTATAGCATTCAAAAAGACTTAAAGTCTGCAAGTTATAGAGGCTGCCTGTAGAGCTAGGTAATGTTCGTAACCGAGTATGTGAGAAATCAAGGTACCTTAAACATTTTAGACAACTTAAAGATTCAGGAAACTGCACAATACCAGATGCTGTTAAATCGAGCACACGTAAGTACCTGGAATTTGAGAACATTTGTGGAGGGACTTCTCTAATGTCACCTTTAGGAAAAAACATCATAAGCGTTCGTGCATTTTTCACTTCACATAAGGTATCTGGGAATAAAGGCAATTCAGAACAGCCAACTAGTGACGAATGAGGTGCTTGTGCAAGACTATTTGATGCATGGCCAAGCTTCATTACTATGAATTCATCTCCCATGACATAAGCAGCAAGATCATGAATGATATCATGCATTTTAAACTTATTATTTTGCCATACTCATCTGTTTTAGTCTCCTGGAAAAAGAATCTCCACAATAACTCATTGAAACAATCATTTCCAATGTCTTCTAGTAGTTTAGTTCCTCTAGATTGGACAACCAGACCTTCTGCCATCCATAAATGAATGTTGTGATCGTGCAGCAATTATGGTGAATAGTAAGGAATCAAACAATTAAGAAAGCAGGAGAAAATAACACACAGAGATTTTACGTGGTTCGGCAATGTGCCTACATCCACGAGAGCGAGCGGCCGTTCTTTTCCATTATAGAATAGGGTTACATCTTAAGTATTTATATAACTCTAATATGGACGTATTTACAAAAATACCCCTGTACCGTACTGTGGGGGCGTTGCCCCCGCACCCCCAACTAATCAGCGTCCCCTTTATTTAAATCCCGCAAGGCAGATGCCGTCGCGGGCTCCGCTCCGGCATCTGCCTCCTTGCCATTATGCACACAGCAAATATGAGCCACACATGCTCTAACAATGAATTAGCTTCTCTTTGATAATTTCATAATTTCTAGGAAAAACAGAGCCGTACGTAAAGCATGACTTGACTTGTGGTGGCAAATGATCATAACTCGACTTTATCGAGAGTAGAAATCCATCATCACATTGGAGCAAGTTCCAGATTTCATTTTCCAGCGCAAACAACCACTCCCTTTCATCTCTTTTGAGCCGCATGAGGCTTCCTAATGTCTTTGCTGCCAATGGCACCCCTCCACATTTTTTCACCAGCTCTTTTCCTATTGGCTGCAACTTTGGACAGTTTTTTTCTTCTCCCCGACCAAAAGCGCGTTGCTTGAACAAAGACCAACAATTATCATCAGACAATCCCCCCAAATGGTAAGGTGAAGTTGTGCCTGTCAATAGGGCAAGCTTTTGGTTACGGGTAGTTACAATGAATTTGCTTCCTCCATCACCACATCTTAATAAAGTAATTAATTTCTCCCACTCCTCATGATCTTCATTCCAAACATCATCCATGATGAGTAGAAATCTTCGCCCACGCAACGATTCTTGCAACCTAGATTGAAGGATATCCATCTCTAGAAGGTCACATCTGCTCTTTGTAGCACATTGGATGATGGCTTCCATAAGTTTTTTCAAATCAAATTCGAATGAAACACAAACCCACAACTTCATATCAAAATTCCTCTCTATCCTCTCATCATTATAGACCAATTGAGCAAGGGTTGTCTTCCCCACCCCTGCAATACCCACAATGGGAATGACTGATACATCTCTTTCATCAGTACTTGTCCCAATTAGAAGATGAACAATTCCATTTCTATCATCTGTTCTACCAACAATTTCAGACTCAATTACGAAGGAACCCGTCTCCGGTCTTCTTTTCATCTGGGTGATTACCCCGTCAGACAAACGAAAACTAGATCTTTCTTGAGCAATCATTTCCAATGTTTCGCGGATTGCTTTTAGCCTACGACCCATTCTAATCCGAGTAGCCAAGGAATTGGAAGGAGAGAAGATTGCGTACCTGGCTCTTAAAACTCTCCCGAAATCCCATTCTCCACTGTAAAGCATCTGCCATGAACTCGGTGAGCTAGTCATCAGCTTCAAAAGCTACATGCTTCAGCTTTGTCAGCCATAGAGTCAATGACTTGTCTTTCACTTGCAGCTTCTGTGCATCTTCAAGCACGGCATGGATAAACAACAACGTGCTACTTAGCTTTTCCATTTGTTTATTGAGTCCTCTCGCACACCCAAAATCTTGTAGCACAGAAGAAGTTAACTTGTCGAAAACCATTCCCAGAAGGGCAGGCAAAACAATTTCTGCCATATTTTGGAATTTGTTGAAGTGGAACGAAGATCAATCAACAGGGTAAGCTTTGAAGAAACTGATCGTCTTCAACGCTTTTTGGAGTTTACTTCACTGTCAACTGTGTTTGGGTTGAATTGTGGTCGGTCATGGCGATTGGTGGCTTCCAAGAAATTGTCAGCGTGACTTTTCTCAGCATGGCCGGTACATGACTACAACCGTCGATCAATTTTTTATTTAAATTTAAATTAATATTTAAATTAAAAATTTAATTTGGTACAAATGACTCAATATAGACAAATTCAAATTTAAAAAAAAAGAGTAATCCAAATTTAAACGAAGTAAAAAGTGAAACTAAGTTCATAGTTAAAAGAGTTATGTTTTGTTTGGTGCGTGATATTAGACCAAAGAAATAAAATGAGTATTATGGAGAATATTTTTAATAATGACTCAATTTTTTATTTAAATTTAAATTAATATTTAAATAAAAAAATTAATTTGATACAAAGAGTTTTAATAGACGAATTAAAATTTAAATGTGGTCAAATCTAAATTTAAAAGAGAGTAAAGATAATTTTTGAATTTTTAAAAGATGGTGAAATCTCACCATTAAAGATTTGGGTAAAATTTGAGGTCATGTTTGGTTTGTGATCCGGAAATAGTTTATTTTTCTCAAAATTTCAAAAACACCCAAAATCTGTTTGTTTAACATTTTTGTTCTCTAAATTTTGAGAAAAAAATGAGATTTGAGTCAAAGAAACATAAAACAAATGTAAATTGTTTTCAGAAATTTTTTTAAAAATTTTGAAAACAAGGAGAACAATTTTGGATCTTCAGATATGAGTATATATATATATATATGAAATTGTCAATCTAAAAATAATTTTTTTATATTTTTTTATTAATGTTTGAATTACTGTTCAAATATATATTTAGTCTGTCTAAGCAAGTTTTACTATTTTTTATATTGTAAAATTGTTTTTGAAATCATCTAAANTATTTTTTTATTAATGTTTGAATTACTGTTCAAATATATATTTAGTCTGTCTAAGCAGGTTTTACTATTTTTTATATTGTAAAATTGTTTTTGAAATCATCTAACCAAACAAATTTTTTTTCTCAAAAAATATCAAAATCACTTTCTTAAAACTCTTCTCAAAAATTGTTTTTAGATACTATTTTTTGAAATGGAAACCAAACAGGTCCTAAGTCTCTCTTAAGTTGAGTAAAAAAATGACTCTTCCTTGATTTGGTATAAGTTTGACTTAAAGGTTGAAACAAGTTTTTTGCACTTTTTTTTTACACTAATTTAAATTTAAATCTAAATTTGAGTCAGAATCGAAGATTCTCTAAATAATAAATATTCCTTTATTTGGTTTGTGACAATTAAATTCATTCTCNTTATCTCAAAAAATATCAAAATCACTTTCTTAAAACTCTTCTCAAAAATTATTTTTGGATACTATTTTTTGAAATGGAAACCAAACAGGTCCTAAGTCTCTCTTAAGTTGAGTAAAAAAATGGCTCTTCCTTGATTTGGTATAAGTTTGACTTAAAGGTTGGAACAAGTTTTTTGCACTTTTTTTTACACAAATTTAAATTTAAATCTAAATTTGAGTCAGAATCGAAGATTCTTTAAATAATAAATATTCTTTTATTTGGTTTGTGAGAATAAAATTCCTTCTTNTACACTAATTTAAATTTAAATCTAAATTTGAGTCAGAATCGAAGATTCTCTAAATAATAAATATTCCTTTATTTGGTTTGTGACAATTAAATTCATTCTCATTCCAAATAAATAGTTAATCCCAAAAAATATGAGATTACCAATTACCAAATAAGACATGATAGTTTTCCATTCTCAATGACTCCGTAATGAACTCAAATTCATAATCACGAAAAACACGACTCCTCTCAATCCCCATTGCCTCGTTTTCCCTTATCAACTTGCACCTTCCTCCCGAAAATCTCTCTTCTCTCCTCCACTCCTCTTCTCATCTCTCAACTCTTTTTTNTCTCAATGACTCCGTAATGAACTCAAATTCATAATCACGAAAAACACGACTCCTCTCGATCCCCATTGCCTCATTTTCCCTTATCAACTTGCACCTTCCTCCCGAAAATCTCTCTTCTCTCCTCCACTCCTCTTCTCATCTCTCAACTCTTTTTCACCGAGACCCATGACATTCCACAACTTATTTTCTCCCTTCTTACGAGCTATCTACCTACTTTTCATCGGTTTTTGAAGCAAGAGAATCAACGACGACGAAGATCATCCTAAACTAGACAAGTATCCACTGTGACCACTAATCTCAACTTATTCCTTATTTTTAGTCAACAATTGCATAGCTCTGAGTAGCTTTGATCAATGGGTAATTGTTGTGCTTGTACAGTTGCTTTAGTTTTTGGAGCTTATATAGTTGACTTTGTTTGAAAACCTATTGGGCGATCAAGTTAAATCACGTGGGCGCGGTAATAACCAAAATTTGTTCGACGATAGTCTTAAATGAGAAAAATATTGCTTTATAGCGGGTATTTGTTAGGTCAATTTTATAATTCATGATATAAATCATATAAGACCGGTGGATGAACTGTTTTCCTATATCGATCATATGCATTGTTAAAAAACAAGCAATACGTGGATTGCGTATGATTGATGAATTTTTTAATATTTTAAGTGATACTTGAATGTTGTATGCTATTCATTTCATAAGCAATCTGTTTTATGAATATTAAACTACATCCAGTTGGTTGTAGTCAAAAGTGAGACTAATACAAATCTTGTGTGCTTGTGTTTTTGTCCTTGATTTATTTACTAGTTTGACATTATCTTACAAGTTTCTTTGTATACCTGAATAGCAAGTTATGGAGGATTATATATGATAATGAAATTTATGCATTTCAGATTTTTTTATTTGTCATGTCCGTTTTCAAATTTTAATATTTTTTTTGGGTGAATTTTATGTTATTTTGTGTGTGAATTAATTGTGCATTTAATCTTATTTGTCAAGTTCTAAAATTAATAGTAGTTAGCATGTTAAATTAAGTTACAAATTCTATGATAATTTTTTTTTATATTTTTGTCAAATCTCATTCTATTTTAGCATATATAATTTAATTCAAATATCTGAATGGAATGCACATTCCATTCCAAGATTAATCCCAAGTTAATTNCTCATTCTATTTTAGCATATATAATTTAATTCAAATATCTGAATGGAATGCACATTCCATTCCAAGATTAATCCCAAGTTAATTGCCAAACATGGGAATGATAATATTTATTCCATTTCATTCTTATGTTAATTCTATTTTTATTCAAAGGTATTGTCGCAAATCAAACATAACGTTACATTTGGTTTTAAGTATTAAGTGATGTTATCAAACATCCCTTAAGAATGAATCTGAATTTCTTTCATCCATGACGTTGGACTTTTAAAAAAGAAAAAATACACAAATTTTATGGGCAATTCGTTAATTTAATGCCTTTTAATACTTAAAATTGAATATTTTAAACACTTAAAAGGATAAAAATAAATAAAATGAAATTATGATTTATAAGAATAAATCATGAAAATAAAACTTATTTATTATGATAAGTTTTTGATTGAATCAGATAAGAGATTAGTTGAGATATAAGTAAATTGAGTTGCATATAAAAACAAGGGCTTTTCACACTTTTTATCCCGAAAACGTTTCAATCTTCACTTTGTATGGTGAGAGATTATTTTTTTTACATTACATCTTGAATGTCATAAATNACGTTTCAATCTTCACTTTGTATGGTGAGAGATTATTTTTTTTACATTACATCTTGAATGTCATAAATTAATTTCAATGGCCCTCGGGTTAACATTTCTTTTAGATTTTATTAAAAATTGATGCACATGTCAACAACGTGTGTTTTTGTTAGGCAAAAATATAAATTTACTATTCATATTATTGGGTGACATGTGCATTAATTTTTAATAGAATTTAAAACAGGTGTTAGTTCAAAGACTACATTAAAACTAATTTATAATATTTAGAGTATAATATAAATTTTTTATTTTTTAAATATAAAGTGAGAAACGAAATATGTTTGAAAGGACAGAGTCGAGAAAATGAAAAGCCATAAAAACAAATGACTTATTTGTTGGACTTAACCATTTTCTCGCAGGACTCTAATTTCCCCAATATATAAACTCAGCGACGCAGCCAGTTATGCGACTGTCGTAAATTGGTTATTCTCACAGACATTGNCAGGACTCTAATTTCTCCAATATATAAACCCAGCGACGCAGCCAGTTATGCGACTGTCGTAAATTGGTTATTCTCACAGACATTGAAGGGTTAGGCCTCGAGCTTCGACAATGGAGGGTTGGGACCCTAATACCAAATCAACCCTAACTCAGATCCCATTGCTCTCCACAAAGGCTGGTCCTCGCGACGGAGCGGCGTGGACGCAGAGGCTGAAGGAGGAGTACAAGGCGTTGATCGCCTACACGTCGATGAACAAGTCCAGAGACAACGATTGGTTTAGAATATCTGCCGCAAACCCAGAGGGCACGCGCTGGACCGGCAAGTGTTGGTACGTTCATAACCTACTCAAGTACGAGTTCGACCTCCAATTCGACATTCCGGTGACGTACCCGGCTACTGCTCCGGAACTTGAATTGCCTCAGCTAGATGGAAAGACTCAGAAGGTTCTGAATTTTGGTTCAATTTGGAATTATTCATGTTTGATTGATTAGGGCTTATGATTTAAGCAATTAATCGGTTAATTTTTTTTTTGTTTTTTTGGTGGTTTTGGGGTTGCAGATGTATAGAGGAGGGAAGATTTGTTTGACAGTGCACTTCAAGCCACTGTGGGCGAAGAATTGGTATGATTGATTATGTTGTTTTTGATTTCAATCTTGAAGGGTCAAGGTTTAGTTTGTAATTCTCATGATGTGACATTGTTGAGCTATTGTACGAATTTTAGAAATTTTGATATGTTTTCATTAATGATGCTTTGGATTAAGTAACTTTGAGCTATGTCCTGATGGAAGATTGTGATTAGATCATGAAAACTCATAGATTTATAATTGGAACATTTCTTGGAGAACTATTCACTTGAATGCGGAGATGATTTCTCCTTATGGAAGTCTTTCTGTTTCTATTGAAGATACTACTACTTATACAATTGGTTTATGTTTTGCAGTCCTAGATTTGGCATAGCACATGCTTTTTGGTTGAGTTTGGGTCTGGGTTTGAATTAGTTAAAGAGTTTGAGTTTGAGTTCAATTAATTGGTTTGGGTCTGGTTATGATTTAAGTAATTAATTGGTTAATTTTTTTTTCTTTTTTGTTTTTTTTTGGTAGTTTTGGGGTTGCAGATGTATAGAGGAGGGAAGATTTGTTTGACAGTGCACTTCAAGCCACTGTGGGTGAAGAATTGGTATGATTGATTATGTTGTTTTTGATTTCAATCTTGAAAGGTTAAGGTTTAGTTTGTAATTCTCATGATGTGACATTGTTGAGCTATTATACGAATTTTAGGAATTTTGATAGGTTTTCATTAATGATGCTTTGGATTAAGTAACTTTGAGCTATGTCCTGATGGAAGATTGTGATTAGATCATGAAAACTCATAGATTTATAATTGGAACATTTCTTGGAGAACTATTCACCTGTATGCGGAGATGATTTCTCCTCATGGAAGTCTTTCTTTTTCTATTGAAGATATTACTACTTATACAACTGGTTTATGTTTTTGCAGTCCTAGATTTGGCATAGAACATGCTCTTTGTTTGGGTCTTGAACTTCTGGGATATTGCGTGTTTGTGTAATCCAAAATTTTCATATTTGTTTTGGTTGTTCTCTAGGTCCTACTCCAAAGTAAGTTCTTGAGCTCATCAACTCTCTCTTTAGAATTTGATTGAAGTGTTAGTTGAAATTTGGTTATTGTTGTATGAAATTGATGGTGGAATATAATAAGTTTTGTTTGTTTGGATTTATTGTCAATTGTATGAGTTTTT